GCCCTGTCCCTGGTATCGATAGGATTTGAAGCAAGTGTTGACCGAGATCCCCGAGTTGATGATATCTCAAGGTGCGCCTGACCAAGTCCAAGGTTTTTCCCTCAAGAGTTTGGCAGCAACCCGCGGTCCTTGTGCCTCATGCCCGACCCTGTGGTCGATTGTGGTCCCCTAGGCTTGCTGGAGTATTTACTAAACCAAGGCCAGCTGGACAAGCTGCAAGACTTTTTGGATCGGGAGGACACACCACCTAGCTTTGCACCCCACAGCGAGATCACCTGGCCGGTCCCAGTGCGCTTGTTTCCCTACCACAAGTAACGGCCGCGTGGTGCGCAATTGAAGATTTTTGTTCCTTGACCAGGTGTAACCATGGTATTATTTGCACAGATGTGGTCTTGGTCGCAAGGGTGCAGATCTACCTTTTAAGAACCCCAAAGCGCAGACCGCCTTGCCTTTTAAGGGAGGCGCGCCGTGGGGTGGAGTGGTGTTGGTGAGGGGAAGGCCATAAGAGACGTGCAAGGGGAAGCAGGAGGCGGCGAGACGGAGAAAGGCGAAAGCAGTGAAAGAGTTTCTTCAAGCCAGCAGTTACAGCTGGTAGCAGGTTTCTTCAACCATCAACGACGACAACACAGAAATGAAGCAGAAAACCCGAACAAGGTGCGATTCACGAGTCGATGGCAGCCGGGCAGGAGAGGCACTGGGGCACGGTCCAGGGCGCGCCCATGATTCAGATCGGCGCTGACAAGTCTTGTGCGTGTGGAGATTTGTAAAGATCATTCGGCCTTGAGACGGTTAAGTGAGATCAACATCGACTTGTCGCACTGTACTTACTCGAGCTATATCAAGTTCATGTAGCAGATATGAGACTTGATGCTGTTGTTTTGGTCAGAGAGACACAGAGAGAGAGCAGAGAGAGAGAGAGCAGAGCCAGAGAGAGCAGAGCCAGAGAGAGCAGAGACAGAGAGAGAGCAGAGACAGAGAGAGAGCAGAGACAGAGAGACAGGAACAGAGAGACAAAGAGACAGAGAGACAGAGAGACAGAGAGACGTAAGGCAGAGTTCAAGAGAGTTCAAGAGAGTTTACCGAGAGATAATAAAAAGACGTCTCTCTCTCTCTCTCTCTCTCTCTCTCTCTCTCTCTCTCTCTCTCTCTCTCTCTCTCTCTCTCTCTCTCTCTCTTGCTCTCGTTCTCTCTCTTTCTCTCTCACTTTTGTGAGGGCGCCTGTCGTGGCTCTCTCTGTCTGTCTCTCTCTCTCTTTTTGTCGGTGTCTGTTTCTGTTTTTTTTTTTTTTTTTTTCGGTGGTGGTGCAGGGGGCGGGTGAAGAGTATTTGCGGTTGTGTGCTGGAGGTGAGTGCATTTGTTGGGCTGGCGGCTTGGTCGGGGGGAGGATAGGGCAGGTCTGGTTCTTCTGTTGAGCATCTCACTTGCGGGTTGGGGCTCTGTTGAAGAGGGGGTTGTTGTCTTGTCACTCCCGCATCATAGAGTGATAGAGGCGCTGCTGCTCGCTCCTCGTTGACGGAACCGCGCAACGAGGTCGTTTGCTCCCCGGTCTGGGCACTGGTCACGCCGATGGTGGCGCACTCAACGTGGTTGATCACCCTCTCGAGATTCCTCTCGTTTTATCCTTTCTTGCATCCCGGGCCTTGCTCTGCACTCGTCGTGCGTCTTGCTGACGGGACCCCCGTCTGTGTGGCAAGCTCGTGCAGCGAACGGGCAATGGTGCCACCTATCGCTCCATGCCCTGGCCTGCAATGCTAGAACAAGTTTTGTGGCGCGCCATTAGGCCTCCCCACCCCACCTTCTAGACGACCATTGATTTCTACTTTTTATCTTTCCTCCTCCTTTTTTTCCTTTTCCTCGCCGCCAGCATGGCCGCACATTCCGATGTACCGTCAGACCTGGCCGATCTGCACGATGATCTCATTGGCTGGTCCCACCTCCATTCGACCTTGGACCTCGGTCTGGATGACCCCATCCCACCCACGGATCTTCTTGCTTCCTTGGGTGCACCGCCACCCCATGCGCCTTCTCAATCCATGTCTGCCGTGGTCCGTACCTGTACCCACACACTTGCCCACCCTTCCTTTTTGCCCGTTGGCTGATCCTCGCCCTCCCTTCGTGCGCCCGCCCTTTAGCCACATCCCTTCGGTTCTGGCATCACCCCTTCTCAGGGCGGCCCAAGTGCCGAAGACGAGGCCGTTGGTGACATTATTCGAACGCTGGAAAATGCCCTCACTGCGAGCGTCGATGCCTTCCCCGCAGCCCCACTCCCCACGCCTTACGAATCCACGGCCACCTCCCCAATTTCCTCTCGCTCCCAAAGCCCCACCATGGTGCGTCACTGTTCTGGCATTCTGATGGCAAACCGCACCACTCGCGTCGCATCTGCCTTGACTGCCTCTTGATTCCTTTGCTGCTCTTGTATGCGCATGCCCTGCCATCGCCTCATTCTTTTTCATTTGCGCACATGTCCCACCAGTTTCTCAATATATTAAAGGACGATGACTACCTACTCCGCAAAATCGAGAGCGAACCCGCTCGGGTATGCCCCTCTCCAACTCTGCCCATTGTTGCTCGGCGTGTCCCAATCGGTTCAGCACACAATTTTGCCTCCCACTGACGCTCCTGCTGCTCTTCTTCCCCTTTATTATTAATTATTCTTTTTTCGATATCCAGAAACGGCGGGCGTTTGACATGCGGCGTGATGAAAAAGCTCTGTTTGACTCACTGGCCGCCATTGCCGAGAGTCCCCTCGAAGATGCTTCCGCAAGCTTGCATCATCCCAACCCCGCCACCGAAGCGCCCTTCGCCTCCGCCGTGAGCGTGGCTGAGACGTTTGCCGATGATGCTAATCTGGCAGACACGGGTCGCAGCCGGCCTCGCAAGCCGGCCCGGCGACATGTGCGCTCCCTCTCGACACTCGGAACCAGTGTTTCTGCTGCCACCCAACCAGCAACTCCCTTGGGCTCGCCAAACCAGGCAACCCAACGCCGGCGAAGCTCAGCTACCGGCATGAAACGCAGCAAGTCCTGCGGAAACCTTTCGGCTTCGAATAGCCAAGATAGTAGCACTTCTAAGCGCGAGCTCCACAACAACAGCGAGCGCCAACGTCGCTTGGTTCGTATTCGCTTTGCTTTGTGCATGGGTAATGGCGATGACATGGCCGCACGAGCCGCGGGATGAATATTGCCATGATACCCACCATTGATATCGTGGTTGATGCTTCTAACCCATCACCGTGCGTGGACCTGCGCAGGCCCTGAAAAATAGTCTGGAAGACCTGCGACGGTTGGTACCCAGCGTAGCCGAGGAGGAAAAGGCTCACACAGGTCGCATCTTACAAGAGGCCGTAGAGTACATCCAACAGCTGCAAGCCACGGACAAGGAGCTGGTGGCTGGATTAGAAGCACTACGCTCTCAGAACCAAGCTCTTGCGAACAATGCGGGCATTGCAACCCAAGATCCTATTCCGCTAAATGCATCTTCAAACACCACTGCCACAACCGCCGCGCCAACGACCACCAACCTGGGCGGTCCAGCGCAGGCGCACACAAATGATGGCACGGCCTTTCTGCACTTTGATCAAACAATGGGCCTCCACGAGCAGACTTCCCTGACCGCATCATCTGTTGGCCTGCTACCCCACGAACACGAGCCTCACAGCTCCGCCACATTGCCACAAAGCCTAGGCTCCATCGAATCCCACGATGAGCACTTTGTGCCCTTTAGCCATGGCGTCGATGATCTGACTGAAATGTTCCTGGCGTACGATTAGCCCGTGGGCGACGGCTTGCGCACGACCTGTTCTGATTTGAGATGTGCGGCGTATAATGACCTCACCCTGCTAGATTCGGGTGCCAAGCCCACCTTCCTGAGTGTCTCGATTTTGTTCCCGTCCTTTTTTTCTTTGTTCGTTCTTGGCACTGTTATTATGCTCTTTTCGCCGTGTGCTCGCTCCCAAGCTGGGGGCGTTTTGCCTTGAGTCGAGCCACCCGTCTGTGTTTCTTCAAATTGTCTTGGTGCGCTTTTGCCGAAAGGCTTCTCTTGACGGCGAGTCTGTCAACTTTTCCTTTTCCCTCTCCCTCTCCCTCGCTTTCCTCTTCCCTCTTTCTCCCTCTTTCTTATGTCTAGGGTTGCTGAGCGCCAGAGCTCTTTGTGTAAAAACCTCGTTGTTCTCGTTGCGACGTGAATTGAACCAGTATTCCAATTCAGTTTTCCATAACAATAAACTCAAACAGCATCGCACGAATCATGCATCCGAACGATAATGGTCAAGAGGGGGGGGGGTGGGGGGAAGGCTTGCAACAGAAAATATCAAGGGCGAATGAAGTGACCACGTGCCAACAGCAGGGCCGACTACGAGCGACGGGCATTGACGAAAAATGTGTAGCGCATCTGCACGAATGACAAGAGCGATGGTGAGCAAGGTGAAAGGCACAAGGCTAGTAGCGCCAAAAAATAGGTGGCCAGCGAAAGATATACCGAGATGTCGCGCTCGACGGTGTGGTCACTCGACACCAAATCGCAGTCCTCGGCCAGATTGACACAGTTGGGGCCCGGAATGCGGTTCATGGGGCCATACTGCAAGATTGCACAAGCGTCAGAGCGGCGGGTATCAGGCGAGGCAAGCTGCAGGACAGACGCACACACCTTGTTGTACAATCGGCAGTAACCAATGATCGGCGCCATTTCAAATCTAACGGCAGTGGCGGAAACAAGGTCAAGCAGAATCAAATTTCCACATACGAGTGTACATGCAACACAACGTACCGAGCACACCATTCACGGCACTCGTGTTGGCCACCAATGCCGGCGTAGGTATGACAACCGTCGTTGGCCGTGTGCGGACCGGGCACGCCATTGAGGTTACGGTTAGTCGCCAAGCGGAAGCGGTTGACGTTAGCTGCACCCCAGCCGTTTACACGCGCCTGCAGAGCGTCGTTGTAGTGCAGGAAAAGATCGCCAGACTCCTGATTAGCGTTGCCGTTGGTCATGATGAGAAAGCTGCTGGCACTGACGGCTGAGGAGGCCCCCGTGTCCTTGTCCGCAAAGACGACGTTATCGGCGCCCACCATCAAATCGCGCACGGTCATGGATCGAAAGCCCTCGCGCACCGTGTACACGGCCGTACCACGCCAGACGCCGTTGCTATGTGCAACAAGCTTAACGCGTGCACCCAGGGGTGTGTCAGTATAGGCAGCCGTGCGGGCATCGCCGGAGGTAGAGAGATAGTTATTTTTGTTGATGCCGCCTTGGATGATGGTCGAGGTGCTCTCCCAAAAGTCAGTGTCCACAAAGTCGCGGACCTGACCGTCATGAGAGTCAAGATGAAAGGCTACAATGTCAACGGGCTCTAGATCAAAGCTGAAGGTGCGATGCGCCATCAGTTCGTGCGAGTCGGTGACATTGACAGTGAACTCGGCATGCAACGTGCCCAAAAGCTGATTGGGGAGGAGCGACACGCGCAGCTTGCGAATGCCGCCCGAGCCTGGGAGCGTGCAATGAACGTACAACAACAGCATGTCAGTGGGGCAGCGAGAGGTCATGGGTCACGACGGTCCCGAGCGCATTACCCAGCAAAACCAGCCTGGCTTTGGATGTCATGTGTGCAAATGCATCTCTCCCGCCCCCTTCTTCGCGACGCCCAGAAGATGCGGATGGCCGTACCGGTCAGGGTAACCTGAGATTGTGTGATGTCGCCGGTAACCTCAAAGGCAAACGTGAGGCTATCCAACGGCCCATCGTCAGTGGCAAACAGATCAATCTCGACCACGCTGGTGTCATATGTTGACTGCAGGGTATCAGCATCAATGACCACGTCGGCAATGGGGCTGAGGACGGGGCCTTCAATCTCAAAGCGCATTTGAATTGGATTGCGGCGGGGCCACGCAACGCCGCCCTCCGTGACATAGATGTTGGTCACAAAGTTGTTGGAGGGCGTGTTCGCAACGGTGTAAGATGGGGTATTGCAGTCAAAGCGTACCACCTGACCCATGCCGCCATTATTGGCGTCCGAGGCCGTGGCGCTTGTGATGATGCGATTCTGGTTCGGGTCTTCAAAGACGCAGGCATAAACGCCTTCCGCCCCAAGAAAGAAGGTGCCCCGACCATAAATTGAGATGGGGTGGGGCTTGCCCGCGGAGCAGGTGGTGCTATACGAGCATTCGGCAGAAAAGTTGGCAAAGATGCCAAGGAGAAAGCTGCCGTTGTCTGCGGGCACGGACGGGGTCTGGCAGTCTGGGCTGCCGCTGCTGCTGTTGGCAGCAGCGGTGAGCTCAGCAACTTGGGCTTGCAACAGAGCGATGGTGCTGAGCATGGTCTGCGATTCCAGCTGGCATTGCAAGGCCTGTTGGGCATAACTGTCATTGACGGCGCTGAATGCACTTAGGATGGCAGTGGTCACGTCGTCGCGCTTGGTGGCATCGCAGGTCACATCGCGTTGGAGGCGTTCGAGAGTGCCATTGGTGGCAAGAAGATCGCGCTGCTGTTGGGCCAGGGTCGCGTTTGTTGTGCGATGAGCCTGATCAGCCGCGGCAGCGGCGGACTCGACCGTGGACCCCAAGAGGGTCAGACCGTCGGCCAAGTCGCGGTCGGCTGCTGTCAGGTTGACTTGGAGATCCGCCACAGTGCCTTGCAGAGCAGAAACGTTGGCCTGAGCACCCTCAAGTTCTGCAGCCAAGGGGGGCAATTGGGCATCAAGATCGGCCTGAGTCACGACGGCAGACGCAGGTGCTTCACCCTTGCGCACGGTGACCTGAGGGCCGAAAACAAAGCGAGGGGTGGGGGTCAGGCGAATGCATGAGCGCCCCAGAGGCCATGCCGTTTGCCATGTCCAAGAGATTGCGACGCGGCCCGCACCTGTTTGTTGCCGTCCAAGTTGATGTTGAGATTGCCATTGACCACGTCCAGCACTGGCTCGGCCTGCGCGGCCGCCAGCCGGAAAACCACGGCACAAAGAGCCGTGATCAACAAGGTTGACCGGTACCCCGATCCCTTCATCATGACGTCTCTTGCACCCGTTCCGGTGTCAAGTCCTATCTGCCTGCGTGTGCCCGCGTGTCCCCGTGCAGTGTGAAGGAAGGACGTGCTGAACAAGCAGGCGGAGCAGCAGCAGCAGGAGGAGGAGGGCAGTCACCACTCACGATGTGTGACAACAATGAAAAAAGAATCAAAAGGACCAAATCAAGAACAAAAGATATTATTTGATGCAACAATAGGCTCACACACCACACACTGATACAACACACACACACCACGTAATAACAGCACACACACCGAAATGTTGTACATGTAGTCTCGGAGTCTTTGTTGAATGGTGAATTTGGAGGAAGCGAGCACCGTTTGTTGTTCGATTAATGAAATTGCATGAAAATAAAGAAAAATCATGCAAGGATGGCCACATCCAGTCGTGCTCAGCACAAGCCATGACCGTACAACTTTTCAAGCCTTTAAACCCAAGCACAGCAAGGTCGGCCTGCCACTAAAATGACGCACGTGTCGCCGAAAATGCTCTCCAGCTTTCGACATGCCAGATGTCCGGAGAAACATGAAAAACTCAAAAAAGAAAAGAACATGTCGCACGGCGACCAAGTTCGACACCACACCCCGTGTCTAAGCATGAGGGAAGCACTGCGAGTATGCACGCGCCGTAACCTCATACACCACGTCGGGTTGAAGCAAGTCCTTGACGTGATGCTCTTGAGAATCCTCATACGTGTAGACAATACTTGTCTCAAAGATGGGGCAGTGTCGGGTCGCCAAAGCCTCGATACAATTGCGCACGCGCGCAATGCGCAGACGCATGTCGCGGTCTGGGCCCATGGCATCGGCACTGGCATCGCGACGAGTTGTGTCTTCCTCCAAGCGGGGGCCAATCCAGATGAAGCCATTGGTACCGAGCACAACCGCCACACCACACGGCAAGACGTGCATGTGGTGCTTGGATCGTCGGATCAAGGCCGGTGAAACAGCCACAAAAGCCCCACCACCAAGTCGTCCATAACGGAGACTGCGCGTGTGCAGAGACAGCGTGCCATCCTCTTGGTAAATTTGCTGCACCTCGGCAGAGATGAGATCGCCCTCCTTGAAGAACTCTCGCATCATCAGCTCGTCCGACGCGCTCTTGCGACGCTACACATGAGAAAACAGGCCGGTGCGATGAGACTGCGTGACCGACGAGAAACAAGGCAGCAGATCAAGCGCGCAATTAAAGGGCAAGGTGCCTACCAAGACGCCGCCGGGGAGGTTCACTGAGGAAAGCTTGAGAACACCATGCAGGCGTGATTGAATATCCACCTTCCACCGTCGTTGCGAGACCTCAACGATACGCCCAACAACGACATCACCCACTTCACCAACATAACTAAACCCACAAAGTACCAGTCGTGAGACCTTTTATAGTTCAGTCAAACGATAGCGCAATGGGATCGTTGCTTGAAAGACGAGGGCAAGGCTCAAAATGCTTACCGTGTGCGTGCGGGACGAACGCTGACGACCTTGTTCACATGTTCTACAACCCCAGCAACCGAGGCATAGAGTACTTCATCCTCGAGGAAAGTACCGTGACCTCTGCCAAAGGCACACCACACCATTCAAAGTGGATGACAAAGTGAGTATTTGCAAACATTAGACGTGCAGTTGACTTCACGTGGTTTGTCAAGAGGGTGTAAAAAAAAGGCATGTGCATTCGCGAAAAGCCCGGACGTCAAAAGACGGCGAGTTTGGATACGAAGGCCTGCTTTGCTATACCATAGCTCCGTTTGCTTCGCGCGTTGAGACAACAGACGCACGTAGCAAAAGCGTAGACCGTAGTCTACACTATGGATAAAAATTTGTGTTTCGTCTTGTATAAAATATTTTGCCTGCCCTCTCTTTTCATCGCCATACACAAGAGAATATAAAACGACTCACCGCATGAACCCAGTTTCCGATGTGATGGTTGCGCCTGGCACCACAATGTTGAGGGCCAAGCCCGGTGGTGGCCCATCTTCTCCGCGCCCGCGCTCTGCACAACAATTCACAACGGACCAGAATGAGACTCGTGTCCGTCCAAGAAGACCTCAAGCCCGACAGCAATAACTTACCGCTTGCGAGCGTGGCAATCACCTCGGCCATGGTGTCTGCTGAATCCTTGCGGTCACGGTCACCGTCACAGTCGAGGCCACGGCCACGGGCCCTGACGCCGTCACGAGTACCAGCTTGTCAAGAGCGGTCAAGTGCAGGAAAATGATCAGTCGACAGTCACTGAAGCCATTAAGTCACTAAGCCGCTAAGCCACTGAAGCCACTGAAGCCACAAAGCTATTAAGAGTGTGGCCGCGTGGTAACCCACGCGTTGGGGTTGTTGAATGATGATTTTCGACAAGAGGGGGGTCTATTTACAGGGACAGGTTCCGTTCTGACCCCTTTTTAGAATTGTCAGAAGAAACTTTTGGATGTCCGCAAAAGTCGATTGGCAGCGACCGATGCATAAGAAACGATGGTCAAAATACAAACTAACAGACCAGGACGGAATAAAAAGAGAAAGCAAGTTAAGACATGGGCAATTTTAGATCCGCATATTAGCTTCATCAGGATCGGAGCATTCCGAAGAGACTACCACTTGTGAGCAGCCTGCTCAGGGGTAGCTTTATATTCTGCAAAGACTTAGGGCAAAGCCGGACGGGTGCGGTTGTTGTTCATCCAGAGGTTGAGGACGCTCTGGTCGTAGTAGTACGGGTAAACGTCCATGTACAAGTTGCCCAGCGACTAGTCATAGAGAAGCATAAAGCCGGTGAGAGCATGTGAAAGGTGGTGTGGCCAAACCAAAATGGACGCTCGGTGTAGGCGGCATGCGCATCGCCAATGACAGGCAGCAGCTTACATTGACGTTGTTGCCCGTGGAGATCCAAGTGGCATCAGCAAACTGATTGGTGGCGATGCCAAAGCCCTCGGCATAGTTGCAAACTGTGCCAAAGTCACAAGTACGAAAGAAGAGAAAAAAAGTCAGCAGGAGAAGCAGTCCGATAGCCAACTGGCACAACCAAGCAATACGAAAGGAAAGCAGAGATTGAGCCGCGCACGAGCACACATACTGCAGCGAACGATGGGGGGCGAGGCCACGATGCCAGCATAGACGGCATAGTCCTGGCCACCAGCCGTAACGAAGGCGTTGCCAGTGACCATGATATCACTGCACGTGTTGTCAGTGGAGATGCCATTGGCCAAGTGGTTGACTGGGGTATTTGAGTCGCTGCTTGAGCCGGGATGACGGAAGGTGTTGCCGGTGATGACGACGCTGGTTGCACCCTCGATCAGCTTGACCATGGTCTCAAACGAGCGGGCAAAGTTGTTGCCAGTGATGGCAGTACCCACCACTTCCTATCCCAAGCATGTCCCAGACCGTGGGGGCAGATTAAGAATCCCAAGCGTGGTCAGTGCTGCCTGGGTGAGCGCCGTGGAATGCGACACCTACCCGGATGATGAGGCAGCTGTTGTGCTGCTGCAAAAAGTTGTTGTGGGAGATGACAGCGCCGTTGCAGCGGAAGAGGTCACAGCCGCTTTGAAGCTGACGGATAAAACGGTTGCCCGTAATCTTGAACAACTCCACCGGGAAGTTAGCGCCCTCGATGACCTGAAGCTCCACCTTGATACCATAGTTGCCGCGTAGAAACTGCGTGTGATAAATCGAGCACCGGTATTCAGTTCACACCCTTTTGCCTCACGAGAGAAAAAGCATGGCTCGAATCTCAGAAAAAAAAAGATGGGGGGGGGGGAGAGGGAAGCCGGGGGCATGACCATGTGTGGAGTATAACAGACCTGGCAGTTGTTAATGTGGTAGCCAGACACTTGCATGAGCGGGGAAAACTCGTCCGGGTTGGGGGTGAGGGTAAAGATGTTGACGACAACGCCGCGTGCACAGCCCTCAAAATGGCACTTGTCAATCAAAACGGCATCGCAGAAGCGATTGACGAGAATGCCATTGAAAGCTGGATCGGAGATGCGAGCACCGTTGAACGTGCAGGAGATAATCTTGATGGTACGGAAGACCATGTCCCAGGAAGAGACCAAGGAACAAGCAAGCCGACAGAGGACCACACATGGACGCACACGCACACCAGCACGCAGAGAAGATGGAGAATGAGGATCGGGTAAGGGTACAGTCAAGCACGACATCAAGCGGGTCAAGTCACACACACCTCGACATCGGCACACCCAAGGAAGCGAACGAGGGCCATCTCGGGGGGGGCTCGGTTCGTGTCCGGGTCAACGGGATCAGGGACGAGGCCTTGCTCAAACACGAGGGGATCGGCTACAAAGGTGATGTTCTCGAGCTTGACATCGTAAATTTGATTGCCTTCAAAGAAGGTGTTGTCGGGTTCAGAGGCGTAGAAGAAGACGGAACGGCGATCGACTCCACGAATGGTGAGGCGGCTGACAAGATCGATGGTGCCGTTGAGCTCATAAACGCCTGGCAGCACGGTCAGGGTAGCGCCACGGCCTGTGGGCTTGAGGTTGTTGACGATGAGCTGTGTGATGCAGTTGTTGAGGTCGGTGTCCGTGATGATGTCCGGACCCAAGAAGGCGGGGGTATAGGGGGCAAGGGCCACGTCCGAGTAGCCTTTGCTCTTGATCGCGTATTCGACGGGACCACCCGGGTGACTGAATTTCATGAGGACATACTCGCGGGGGACAATGTCCTCGATGGCAGTCTGCAAAGACAGGGCCGTTTGCAGTGGAACTAGAGACGGTGCCCAGCAGAAGAGCGCAGCGTGAGCCAAAACAAGGAGCAAAGGAGGGCCAGGTGGTTGGAGTGGGCAAAGACAGATGAGTTTGGGGCAGGCCGTTGTTGGATGACGCACTGATATTGCTGGGTGGCGCCGGGGGGATAAACTTGAGGATTCCGGGCCCGTCGCAGTCCCTGGGATTCTTGGAGTGCTTCGGGTGCTTGGACTCTTCGGGACGGTCGGCACCAGGGGCAGAGGTGGCCTCTTGATCGGCCTTGCTGCGTTTGGCAGGGGCAGCCATCTTTTGCGATCCAAGATCGAGGGGGAGAGTTGGGGCAAGGAAGAAGAAGGGTGGGATGGGGTTGGCAAAAGTCACTCTTGAAGGCTCAGTGGAACAAGGTCGGAAAATGCGACTGAAACCGATTGCGGGGTGTGCACTCGCGGTGCTGCTTGATTGATTTGATTGACTGCACGGCTATTTGTGACGGCTGCGATCGGGTGGGGGCGGGAATGGGTGGATGCGTATTTGTTTGGTGGTGTTGTTGGTGCTGCTGCTTCCCGACAGGAAAGTTTGTCCAGTGTTGCATGAGGCGCGCGCTGATGCACCGCAGAGTGCGGTTCCAACAGGGCACTTGACGGGTGCGCGCGCCAAAAACATCATCAGGCACAACAAGGACCGAACCTGTGGTGCGTGCCTGAAGAAGATGCTGTTGTGGTTGCCTAGTGGGTGGATGGGATCTCACCTGTCCAGAGCTCGGATAGAACAGGTCGCGATGACGACTTTCTGTATGGTCCAACGATACAAGATTGGCCCAGAGAATTTTTTTTTTTTCTTTCTCGCTCTCTCTCTCTCTCTCTCTCTCTCTCTCTCTCTCTCTCTCTCTCTCTCTCTCTCTCTCTCTCTCTCTCTCTCTCTCTCTCTCTCTCTCTCTCTCTCTCTCAGGCTCTCTCCAAGAACAATCTCCGTTGGCAGCGGGTTGTGCGTGTCGTCTGTGTTGGTGATGACATTGTGTTATTTTGAAGAGGTATCCACTCCATATCTGAGCGACGTGTGGGCTTCTGGTGGGATGAGTGAGTCTTATTATGGGCTCGTTATGCAGGCTCATGGCGTGGGGTCGGCTTTGTGCGTTGACAGATCGCTGATTTTGACGGTGTGATGATGACCTTAGAATGCACGAAGCACAACAACGAGGGGCGGCAGGGTGCCAAGATGCGCATGTTCCAGGCCTGGTGGTGCCGGATTGGCTGGCATTGTTGTGGCCTTTTCGTCCTGTCCAGCGCCCTGATACACGGTCCGTTGTGGCGACGAGATGGCGCGGCGTTCATTTTCATAGCAGACGGCTGGGACCAACCGACCAAGGAAGCTGGCGTCAGAATCAAAAGTCATGACGTACTGACCTCGCGCTTCGGCCGGCACCTTTACGCGATCCTGCCGGTTGGGCCAGACCAGCGAAACATAGCTTCATCGTCGATACCGCTTGACGTTTGCGTTGCGTCGGCGGGCGGAATCTCTTACTGTGTTTGTTGGAGTAGCTGTTTGTCGTTAAGGGCCCAAGCTCGAGTTGCAGCAGCCGCTCCTGGCTCGGTCGAAGTCCAGGGTGGCGAATTTCATTGTTGTGACAAGCCATGATGCTTTCGCTACCCCGTCTTTAGTCGCGTCATACCGGAAAATTTTTGTTTTTCTGACAAATACTTTCTGACAAATACCATGCATTTCATCTGACATTATGTTTTGTCTGACACCCAATTCTAGCTAGCGTTTGGCAAGTTACGCACTGTATCTCTCGTAGTAGTTGTACTTTTCTTCTCTCTTTCTCAAACCGACCAAACCAATTCATTTCTCTCTCTCTCTCTCTCTCTCTCTCTCTTCTCAAACCAATTCATCTCTCTCTCTCTCTCTCTCTCTTTTTTTTGATGTTTTTGTGCAGTTTCCCTCTCTCTCTCTCTCTCTCTCTCTCTCTCTCTCTCTCTCTCTCTCTCTCACTCTCACTCTTCTTCGACGGCAGCGCCACTGGAACGATCGTTCAGGCAAGGGGCTCGGGGAGAGGTGCATACCGTACAGCAACGTCAGAAGCAGCATCATGGCTGAAGACGCGACATTGAGAATGCTACAGCGGTTCGACGCAGCGGTGGAGCGTGTGCTGATCAAAGTTCCTGGCGCGTCAGTCTTTCCCTTCAACGACGCCCGGGATGGCTGGGTTGGTGCCTCTCACACGTTGCGCCCGCTCCTCCTCCTGCCCTTCAGGCTTTGCGTACTCACCTCACCTCGCATCCTTCGCCATGCGGACCACTTAGGACCACCCGTTTTGCAACGGTGCCACGTTTCTCTGCGCTCGGTATGCTGACTGCACGACCATCGTTTGCCGGTCAAGCCAAGGGCGGGCTTGCGTCGTCACGGGCTCATCAACATTTGGATTGCCTCTTTCTATTTTTTTGCAGATCTGGGGGTCGCCCACCGATTCTGATTGTGTTAAGCAACTCGGACCAGCATGATTTCGTCTTACCCATCGACGACCAGCTGTCTTGGCAACCCGAACTTGCACAAAACTTCCTCATCTTTAGCAGCAGCGCCACAGGTCTGTTTGCAGCGCAACGCCCGGTTTGTCCCATCCGAGTGCCGGTCCCTGTGCTTTTGGACATGAGGACTAACACGTTAGAGCTCGGGTCCTCTCTGCCACAGATAAAACACACGGCCTGTGGTCCTCAGACACCAGTGCCATGACACAGCTCCTGGACATCCTGGGCAGGTAGGTTTTGCTTGCAGGCTTGTCGGCTCGTGACCCCGCGTTCTGCATCAAGCAGCTGGCATCAGCTGGCACCAGCCGGCAATCCCACCTCGGCCGTTGATCCGGTATGCTCCACTATAGCTATGGAGGTGATGAAGCCGTCTTGAATCTGGCCAACAGCTTTGGCACACCAGCTACCCCTGCTCGATCCGCCAACGGCGGCAATCCCCTTCCTACGGCGAGCGGCGGCCAGACTGACATCATGACCCGGTATGCGGCCTGTAGCCCACTCGCTGTGGTTTGACCCCTCATTGTCAGGAGTCCCTGCTCCCCTAACATGGCGAGACCCGTCGAACCCCAACGCCTTGCCGATGCAACCAATAGTTTAATTCGAGGCATCATTCGTGGACAGTCGCAAAAGGGCCGGGCCAGCTTGTTAACGCAAGACGAGCTCAAAGGCATTATTCAGCAAACCCTGAACGATGTAAGAGCAGCACACAGCCCCAAAGCATCACACAGCCCCAAGGCACCTAGACCCAGATTGCGCGATTGCCCCATGTTTAACTCATTCCGCTATCCCGCCCTGGTCTCTTAGAATGAGAAACTTTGCTCCCTGATTCATCAGCAATATGTGCGCGAATTTCAACAAATCCCAAAGGCTTGATTAAGCTGCGGTCTGTCGCGTCTCTTCCCATCCTTGTTGCCATTGCCACGTCCTTGACTGTTGAACAGTTGTAGTCTCTTGCGAGTAAGACTTTTGTGTAGGGCGCTTTTTTTTTTTTTTTCCTTCTCTGTACAATTGATAGGTTAAAGAGAATATTCAAGGCACACAGCATTCATCACCACATCCTCGCGCCCACACGCGCAACACAGCTAAAACCTGCCAGTCCAAACTCATGAAGCGCAGGTTCTTTTCGACGAAAAAATTCAGCAAGACACACGGCAAATTTACGCCGTCTGATCCTCGTCGTAGTCGATGGGAGCCCGCGGAGGCCACACGGGCAGTCGATGGCTCTGGCGCGACTTGCGAGCTCGTGACAGCCGACAATCAGGATCAACGTTTTTAAGGCAATAGTGGTGAATATTGATCTGGCATCGCTTGCAGCGCAACCCCTGTCGAGAAAGGCGCGGATGAGAAAGGAGGAGGAGAAGGCCCATAAGAAGCGCATTACACCGCACATGGCGCAACACTTGGAGACGCAGGCCCATCCTCGCCGACGTACCTGACGAGCCAGCCCAGTTAACACTTCGTTGCACTCATCACACTTGGTCTCCCGCACATAGGTCTTGGTAACAAAGTCATGCTCGCCCAGACTGTAGCAGGGCACGAACCGGCGAAAGGCACCATCTGGGGTGAGAATTGATACATGCACACAACATGACAACAACACCCACATAAAGTAAATGAAAAAAATAAAACGACACGCACTCGACTTCTGAGGGCTCTGTAGATCCGGGTCGGTCGTCTGCAGCCTGCGTCTTGGCTTGAAAGTAGACAGAGCGCCGCAAGCGTGGACTTGAGTGTGGAGAGGCCGGCTTGACCGTGACGGAGGCTGTGGACAAGGCCGATGAAACCGTGGGCGCGTTGCCAGTCTCAGCAGTCAGCATGTTGCCTTGTTTGGTACGGCGGCGACTAGAGCTGCTGCGGTTGCGGTTGCCGCTGCTGCGCGGGGAGCTCTCAGGCGGAACAGTGCCCTGCATACTGTACGGCTGATCCTCGCGAGGGTTCTGGCGCATGTATTCAAGGAGTACAAAGTGAATGTACACGTATTGCACTGGGGTCTGAACGCTCAGGCCGCGCTGGCGCCGCGTCTTGCACACGTTGCTGAGAATATCGACCACGCCGAGTTCGTCCCACTGCTGCATGCCAATGTCAATGTTGATGAAACATCCCGTACGCCCCACGCCAGCACTGCAGTGCACGACGATAGGCCCACCCTCCTCATCAGCCACATCGCGCGCCGTGTTGATGAACGGGAAGATGCCATCCGCTGTCTCAGGAACACCTGCCGTGACCCGCGTAAGACCATCGTCAGTGAAAGTTGGAGGGGTACATACCCACCACAGCTGAGGTGACCAGGAGGAAACAAACGACGAGTTGGCACGCAAACACACGCACGCACGCACGCACAAGTACACAAGGCACTTTTGCGCACTTTGCACACCATCCGATCCACAACGATGGGCAAGAGGTATCGTACCTTGATCGGGCCACGCGCGCCACCAGAGATGAGTGATTTCACGAATGTCATCGTCGCCACAGCTAATCAGAAGCTTGGAAGTGACAAATTGCGGGCAAGTGTTGGTTTCAGTCTGGAGACGAATGACGTAATCTCCGTAGACCACGCTTGTGCCGACGTCCTGGGGCCAATAGCGCTCACACTTGACGGCGTTGTTCTCTACTAGATCCGTACTCATGACAATGACGTGCGTCTTGGACTCCCAGACCATGCGCCAAAAGGCCAAAATGGTGTGTGGAAGCGGCCCCTGTGTGGCGATGTAGCGGTCCATCGCGCGGGGCCCATAACCACTGATAAAATTGGCGTTGATGTACTCGGTGCGCTCGTCATCTCCAATGCGCGGCAACAAGACCCTACAGGATAGGCAGGGTGAAGGGGATCGAGTCGGGACAAGTTGAGTTTGGGGTGGCGTTGTCATGGACAGGTTGATGCCCATGTCAGCGATTTTGGTTGGTGAAGCAGGAACAAACCGCGTGTGATTGTTGGGCAGGATGTTAAAGTAGCGATTCAAGTCTTCCGTCAAACGCGGCATGGACTCAATCGCGGGCTGCAGGTTGAGCAAAGACGCCGGATGAGTCAAAGGGAAAAGGAAGCCGGCCATTGAAGGTCACAAAAAAGGGCCAAAGACAAACCCTGTTCTCCGGAATCTGCTCAAATTCGTGATGCAAATGCTGGGTATTTTGCAGAGCTTCAAATAGCTTTTTAAAGTCAAGTTTCTTAGAGGCCGTCAAGCGCGCCTACAGCGATGGAAGAACCATGAGCTGCCATGAGCACCAAGGGCCAGGGATGTCAAGCGCCGGGACGGGAGGCAAGGTCGAACGTACTCGGAAGCTCTTTGTCTGTCGCTCCCACTCAGCCTCCGTGGCGTTGCTGCGCCCAAAGCGTCGCGCAGATCGCGCGGAGCGACGCTTGTAAAAGGGGCTGGGTGCCAAGTCCACCCCAAGCGAGTTGCGCTTATTCTCGGGCTCGTCGAGGGTAAAGCTTGTCCCATGAGAAACGTGGCTCTTCTCCATTTCGCCCTCTTCTTCGTCATCACTGTGCAAGGACAAGCAGGGGTGGGTTTGCGGGGAAGGGCAAGGGAAAATTTGAGAAGGCGGAGACTAGGTAGGACGGGGCAAGCAGGACCCCAGTGGGTTTGTGTGAGCTGCGTCGTAAACAAGGGAAGCCAGGGATCACCTCGAGCTGTTTGAGACATCCCAATTTTCGTCATCGTCCTCTTCATCGTCGTCGTCTTCGTCGTCATCCGCTGCTCGTTCGTCGTTGTCATCGGTCTCGCGGTCACTGTCATCCATGTTGTCGATGCGCACCAAGGGGCGAGGCCTGAGCGGAGTGCTAGCCACGGCCCCTGCCACGGGGTCAGCCTTGAAACCGGTGACATGTTCACTACCATTGCCTTCTGCCAAATCATCCACTTCACGATGCCCGATCATGCTATATGATGGTGTACAGTGAGGAGCGGGTTTCCGTTGAGTTATGAAAAGCAGCATTTGGGTTTTTGCGGTGGGTCATGGCAGAAGGCAATGCGATGGAGGCGCACCGTGATTTGCGCCGGTGTGTCTGCGAGCTGGCGCGGCATTTGGATACGTAGGGAATGCACTTGTAGTGGCAAAGAATGGAGCAGAGCAAACACTTGCAGGCGGTCGAGTCGTCGGTCGTCAAACTTTCCTCGCAGTTGATGCAGACGGCATTTTTAGAGAGTGCAGTCTGGCATTGCTCAAACTGATGGCCGTTGATGGCGGCGAGCAGCGAGGCGTCGTTGGTGGCCTCGGCGTTTTCATCAGCTTCGCCTTCAGGCCCTGGTGCGGGTTGTGATTCGGCGCCCGGTGCCTCGGTGTGTTGTGGCGCAGATGCTGTTGCGGCAAGCTGGAGAGAGCGTTGTGAGGCTTGTCGCAGATGCTAGGAGCGCGGGACAGCGGGCATGGTCAAGCGTGAGGTCAAACACGATGCTACGCGCTGCAGCAAGTTGGTGAAGTCGAAACAGCCGGTCATGACCAAGAAAAGCAAGACTGAGACACAGGGCAAGAAGCAAGCGCAAAGCGGGGGCAGACCTCGAGAGTGACCACATCTCCCACGGGAAGCTCGTTGTCCTCAGCCAGCGCCTCCTGCGCAAAGCGAATCGCCAGGTCGCGGCTGGCTTCGGACTGGCGGGTGATGAAAAGAAGCGCGCTCTTGAGCTGGAACAAGCTCATCGAGCTCGGGTCCTGGGAGCTCTCCATGGCCACGGCTTGATGCCCTCGAGTAAACTTGTCACCTCTCACTCGGATTGAAAAATAAAAAACCGCGGCGATGGCTGTGCTCGGAAGCTGAGCTTCAAGTCTCTCAACGCGCACCACCAAACGTCAACGTGCTGGAGCCGGCGGCAAGTTTGACCCAAACGCGAGGGGGGCGCCGGTAATTCCAACGTTTAGCTCAATATGGCAGCAAGGCAAGGATCCTCAACCCCGCCCTGGTTCCTCATCCAACACCATGGGTCACAACAGACAGGCACGATGCTCCACGCGCACGCGCGCGTTGCCAGTGAGTCGTTCCCGCCTCTCTCACTCTCTCTCTCTCTCAAACTCTCTCTCTCTCTCTCTCTCTCTCTCTTTTTTTCGTCGTACACAACAAAAATTCAAAAAAAAAATTCAAAAAAAAAAAAAAGATGCAGAGAGATGGAATAATGAAGATGGAGAGGCAGAGAGATGGCAGTCTGACGAGGATGGTCAGAGATGAGGGAGCCAAGTTGTTGATCTTGGAGAAAAACAAAGGTGAAAGTACACCAAGAGAAGAGAGACATGAAAAGTCAGGGCGTGCTCACAGAAAGACACATTGAGTGATATGAAGAAAAGAGAGAAGAGCCATGAGTGACACCTGTGTTGTTGTGGTTGCCAACGTTGACCTGATTTGGCAGTGTGATAACGGGGGCTGAGCAAGATGAACGCAGCTCGCTGCCATGAACGCTCAGCCAGGAGATCAATTAATAGAGTGCACGCGTGGCGCGATGGCCGCGCGCGGTCAGCCGGCCGACGAGGGCAGGCGCTGAAGACGCCACTACGGGCAGCTGTGAGCAAGGGGGCGGATCCTTGCCAATGTAGAGCAGCTTGACCAATTGACCAATTGACCAATTGATTGATCAACCCATTTCCCCACGGGGCCGGAGAATTTATCCAGCTGGTGCCCCCTTCCTAGCCCGCACAACTCGTGTTTGGAGCTTCGGCGCCACAGACGCGGCATCGATGACGACGGGCCGCTGCCGTCTCCGTGTTGTTGTCTGAAGCACAAAGTATTATACTTTTACTATTGCTGACATTTTGTTTGTGGTTACGACTTTGGAACAACTCACAGGAGCGGGGAAATGTGTATTGGACGGTGGATATTAATCCATATAAAACAATTGAGAAACTCGGTCCAGCTCTTCGCCTAGTGTTTCAGTGGAAGAACAAAAGAAACTTGAGGTCTTTTGTTCCGCCCCGGCCGTATATACAAAAGAAACCACAAGTGTGAGAAATCTAACGTTTATATAACTTTAAACATGCTGTCGAGTGTGATATACCTGTCATCAACGTGTGACAACTCTGATCTGCACAGTGAGAGAGAAAGACAGAGTGCGAGAGAGAGACAGAGCCAGAGAGACACACAACACAGAGAGAGAGAGAGAGACAGAGAGACAGAGAGGGAGACAGACAGAGACAGAGAGAGACAGAGACAGAGACAGGGACACAGACACAGAGGGATAGACACACACACACACACACACACACACACACACAGAGAGAGAGAGAGAGACAGCGGGAGAGAACACTTTCCGAGCGAACGAACGAACGGGACGAACGGACGAACGAACGGACGGGAACGAGGACGAATAGCATTTGGCAGACCGCGTGCAGATAGTACCCAGTACCATGGCGGATTACGATGAAGATATCCCGGCTGATGAAAAGGTGAGCATGGGGTTGAGTTGCAGCGACCTCGGAATCTTGGTCCTTCTGCCATTGGGCGCACTGGTGCCGTGGTGCGGTGCGCCGCGCAGCCAAGCCATCTCTCTCGTTTTGCCTCCGCCCTTGTTTTGCAAACATACATACGATGCGGATCAGGATCGCAGCGTGGTCTGCTGGTTGAGACGGCGCACGCATAAGCTGCGACGTTGTCGTGCGCTTTTGACGGGCGTTCTGTGCTGGGGCCAATGCGGTGTCTTTCGCGGCCAGGGTCAACTGTGCAAACTGGACTAGCCACAACCAGCGATGCTTGATACGGCGGCAGTCGCGTGTGTGCCTCTATCAGTCATTTTTTGAGATGTAATGGCACACTGCTGCCATGGACACGACCCCATCAACCCAAACAGAAACACACACTCGCGCTCAACAACTCAACAACAGGCACTGGTTCGCAGACGATCAACTGTGCGTGCCAACTGCTCACGAATCTTCCACTGGTCTGGTTGATCTAGGTCGCCATCGCCTCGGACTTTGTGATGAATGCGCCTCCTGGCGAGTTTAACGAGGTTTTCAACGGTGGGTATCGCTCAGGGCAAGCCAAGAGTTGTCCGTTTATTTCTCGGGCTCTTTTGCTTTCCTGTCGCCTTTGTGTGTCGTGGTTGGCGCACGCGCCCACATGCCCGCGACCGCCTCCTGATGTCCAGTTTGTCTCCACCTGGCCCCACAACCTTGCAGATGTCCGTGTCCTGTTGAACGACGATGCCCTTTTGAAAGAGGGTGCTGCAGAGTACGTTTACTTGCCTTTGATTGTCATCAACCTTCTCGATCGCGTTGTGGATTTTTTTTTTTTTTTTCCGTTTGTGTGTTTTGTGTTTACGGGCGTTTCTGTGTGTTTTCTTGGGGATGACTCATCCTGGTCGCCTTTGCCTTCCTCTCGCTCTCTTCTCCCTCTCTCGCTCCCTCTGTCTCTTCATCTTGCACAGGGCTTTTGTCAACTACAACGAGGAGAGCTTCACGCCGGCGCAACTGGATGATGACAGCAAGGTACTCATCACGAAGCATGGCCGTCAGAGCGACGGACGCTACATCGACCCCAAGACCAAGCAAGTCTTCAAGTTTGATCACCTGCGCAAGGAAGTGTCGGATCTGGAGGCTGCTGCGGGCGCTGGTGCCCATGAGGAGCTCCGCGCTGCCGTCGAGACAGAGGCAGAGACCTACGTCAAGGACCACTACCACACGGGCACCACCAGTGTGTATGATACGGACGCCGGCATCGTGGTGTGCGTTGAAGACCACAAGTACCAGCCCCGCAACTTTTGGAATGGTCGGTGGCGTTCTGAGTGGACCGTGTCGCCTGATGGCCAGGTGATTGGCAAGCTCTACGTCCACGTGCACTACTACGAAGACGGCAACGTTCAGCTGCGCTCGTCCAAGGAAATCACGGACACAATCAAGGTTGATGATGCGACCAGCGCCGCCAAGGCACTTTTTAAGATTGTCCTGGCTGCCGAAAACGAGTATCAGGTGTGTTTGCGTCGCCATACCTGCCGAGTCCTGTCAATCTCAAAGCCCATTCCCATGTCTGTGTGTCGTCAACCTCTGTGGCCATGTGCATGTGGTGTCTATCCGTGGTTCTCACGCGGTGATTGGGACGACTCGTCTGTAGACGGCCATTTCTGAAAACTACAACACCATGTCAGAGACGACCTTCAAGGCCCTGCGCCGAGCTCTGCCCATTACGCGCAGCAAGGTGGATTGGAACAAGATCCTCTCGTACAAGATTGGCAAGGAGCTCAAAAAGTGAGCTTGCCTGGATTCGTCACTCAAGGTCAAATGTTGGGGTGGTGTGTCCTTGGCAGTGTGTTTTGTTCAAACACATGCCCTGCCTGCACGGCACAACGGCGGCGTTGAATGTTGTGTGAGCCGTTGTGGCCGGCGTTTAGTGTGATGTGATGTGTTCTTCTGTGACCTGTGGTCGTTTTTGGCCTTTGCCAATTTTTTTAGTGTCTTTCGAGATATCCTTGTGAGACAAACCTTCTTCTGGTCGTTTCATCACAGGGGCGCCAAAAGAGGCGTTTAAAAATTCAAACCCTCTCTTAGAAGTACCTCGGCCTTGTTTGGAATCAGAACTTGTGCCAACCTTGAATCACGCATGTCCGTGGACCAGCGTGTTGGTTGTAAAACAAAAGCCGGAAGGATGGTTTCCAAAAAAAAACTCGATTTCAAATCGATGCGCCCACATGGCGGGGCAAGGGGCCAATAGCGGCCGCCGTGGCGTCACAATCATCAGCCATAACAAAAGGGGGGGGGGGGAAGAACGGCAAAGGCTAACACACGAAGCAACATCAAGGCGGGTGCACAACCAAAGCGCACACCCGCGGCAAGGAAATGCGGGACAACAGTCATAGGCGAATATCAAATGAAGACGATACTCTGGGGTTCGAGAAGATCAAGAAGAAGCGATTCAATCAGGGGCTATTGAAAAAAAAAAAAAAGGAGACAAGAGTAGAAAAAACAACGGAGAAACCAGAACGGGTCATGGCGCACACACGCACTATGTGACCCTATCACACACGGTCTTTGTGCACGGGTTCACAGGGTTCTTTTCCTTAGAGAATAAAAGACTGAAACAAAAGCAAATGGTCAACATGGCGAGACGGATGCCGGCCGTTTCTCGCAGGGAGGTTCTCACTCGTGAGACAAATGTCGGGAAATAAAACAAGTGCTACAAACAGCAATAGACAGACACAGGCGTCAGCTGTTGGCCAGCTGTGCCATGCTCGACACACGGGCCAGCAACAAGGCGACACAAGGAGACTGGGACAAGGGGCGCCATGCCAAGGCACAGCCAAGACATCCGCAGGACAGGCCGCGTGTCCGTCGCAGACGAGACACGTGGTCCTTGGCTGCTCGTTGACAAGGGCGCCTCGTCTCTCAACGCCTTGCTCGTGCTGGTGGCATCAAGCAGAACAAGCAACAGGCTGCAGCTGAGCTAACAGACATTTCTTGACAGCACAATACATGAACATGCACACCTATTCCACCGACCCATCTCACAGAGGAGAGCCACACGCGCAAGAAGTGGGGCGTTTAGGCAGTGATGGCCGGAGGAAAGGCGGGGGTGTTGTTGCCAGCTGAGGGGGCAGTGATGGTGAGGGCCTTGGAGCGGCGGGTGCGCATGGGGGAGGCGTTGAAGCGTTGGCTCGCGTAGTACTGTTGGGATTGTTGATATTGGGGATGGCGATAGGGACCCTCGTGGGCGGCGGAGGAAGCGTAGGGGTTGTAAGCCGCCATGTTGGGGTGTGCGTGGTGAAGATGTGAGGGCGAGCCCATGGTCGCCAGGACGGCAGGAGGCATGTCCGGGGAAAGGTTGGCGCTCAAGACGGGGCTGTTGGCGGCGCTGGAAGTGGCTGAGGCTTGACGCGAGAGACTTTCCTTGATGAGGAGCTGGTCGCGCGCGTCATCCTCCTGCTGCGAGGCGCCATTGAGGTTGAGCATGTACACGGGGGCTTCGGCGCCGAGGCGAACGGAGACGGCGCGGGGGTCCACCCAAATGGTCCACTCGCTGACGAGGCCGGAAGGGTCGACGGGAGTAGCAGCTCGAGGGGTGGCCGCGGTGTCGTTGGCGGAAGAAGGTGGGGTGTTGGCAGCCTCGAGGGCAGAGCGGACGACCACGCAGGGTTTGCGTGGCTCGTGGTGCAGGCAGCGAAAGGCCTGGCCGCGGCTGGGCGAGTCGGCGTACCAATGGCCCTTGTAGCGACGGCTCAGTTCATCCTGGACCGTATCGAGAAAGGCGTCCGATGCCGGGCATATCTCGAGCTCCGAGGTGTAGAGCTGGCGGAGGAAGCGAGTTGCGCGTTCAATCTCAACCTTCATCTTCTCCGGTGGCAAGGTGGCAACGTCGACGGGTTCTGTGGTCTCGTCAAGCTGAGGTCGTATTCAAAAAAAAAAAAGAAGACGACCGTGGGACGGGGGGTTGGCAACCACACAAAAAGTCTTTGATGACCCAAAAGGGCAGCGACAACAACAACAACAACAACAACAACAACGATGTCAACACACACAGGAATGTCTTGGAAATGAGCTGTTCCTGTCGCGTGGTGTCACACACACTCACACACACGAGAGAGAGTGTGTGTGTGTGTTGGTGTGTTGGTGTTGGTAGTAACCAAAGACAACAAGAGAGAGAGAGAGAGAGTCAAAAGAATGTGACTTGGTCTCTACGAATTGTTTGTGCACACACACACAATCAAACAGATTGAGTGGGAGCGTAGGGAAGGGGGGACACACAAAGCAGACGAAAAGGGTTGTCTGGAGGGCGGGGACGTGTGCCGGGCGATGGGGGGAGTGCGCAGACAAAAAAAATGCTCAGAGGCACGGGGTGGTGCGGGCCAGAGCTGGCAGCGATGCTAGAGCGGGGCAAGCGGGCGTGTGATGATCAGCGCAGAAGAAAAATGGCGTCAGGGCAGAGCTGGAGCAAAGAGAGGAGAGAGAGCACACTAAGCAGAGACAGGACCAGCTTGACATTCTTCAACAAGGCAAACTCCAAGCCAAACTAAGAGACGGCACCTGTCAACCACATCCCATCAGAGAAAGCTAAAGGCCCATCACGATAAGGTGATGATGGTGTTGGGGGTTCACGGTGGAAGGAGCGCGCAAGCACTAGGCACTTACATGTTAAAGGCAAAGGCAATGGGCAAAGCGTAAGGCGCTTCCCAAGAATAGCACACATGCAGTCGTAGTGGAAGAAGAACAACAAGGGGGGTGATCATTGAATTACGTGTGCGGTTGGATGAAGTTTAAGCTTGAATAAGCTTGACTAAGCTTGAATAAGCATGAATAAGCTTGAATAAGCTTGATCAGCATTACCATCATTATCATGCACCTTTGGCTTGGGCTTGGGTTTGGGCTGTGCGCGCTGCCTTGGCAGGGAAGGAGACGGAACGCCGGGTCGTTGACGTGATCATCACTCTGTTCCTTCGACGACGCCGGACGGGTCGAAATCAGTATTTGTGCGGCGCTTTCTCTCTTTCTTTTTTCAGTGGGGTGGGGGAGACTCCGGGAACACCACGGCCCTTGGCGTCCAAGGCGAAAACGCGCGCGTCCAACCGTTTTGGCGCTCGCGCGAGAGTCCCCCATACCCAACTGCATGCCCAAGCTTATTCCACCATTCCAACTGCCATACCTCCACTCGACCCCCATACGGCGCGCAACATCAACACGAAGCGGTTGGGAACAAGAGAAGGAGAACAAGAAGGGAAGGAAGGAAGGAAGGGTGATGGGGGTTCGGCTTGTGTTCTTGCAGGTAAAGCCCCAACACGAACAACATACGTAACCGCGGTCATCTCGCTTCTCCAAAAACACTGGTGACAACAGCTGTTGTACAATTCTTGCTCCATGATGCAACGTCCACAATCACGTCATCACATATGACAGCTGGGCAGAAGACTGGAGAAGACTGGAGAAGACTGGAGAAAGAGGGGACTCGCGGGGAGACTCGCAAAGACTCGCAAAGACTCGCAAAGACTCTCGGAGACTTGCAGAGACTGGTGGAGACGAGTGGAGACGTGCAAACATCAACAAACACAAGGGAGTGTGCCGCATTCTCTCTTCTGTGTGTGTGCAGCGCACATGCCAGTGAGCGGCGGCAGAGGTGCGAGTGAATGGCGATCGGGCTGCGGCTGTGATTTGAGCAGACCCCTGCTCCTTGGCAGATCCGATGCTCATCCCTGTGTCTGTATCATGCCGCGTCTTTGTTGTGTTGATTCAAATCTGCACCGCCGTTCGGGGGGCCGAGATTCGACCGGTCGTGTGATTCGACGCTCCGCTCACGATTTGATTTCCCTGGCCATGGCCGAACGTAATCATGATGTTGTTGTCTTGGATCTCGCTCGCAGCAGACCAAAAGCGTGTGCCACCTTCAACCATGGGCCGCTACCAATCGTGCTCGGCGGCTGCCGTCCTTATTGCACTGACGGCCACACTCTGCGTCGTCACTGCCGACAATCTCATGGTTGACCATGACAAGCAGAGTCAACCCTTACATGCCATCGGTGGCCTCTCAGGTCCGTTGCTACACGCTTTCCCTACCTGCAATCTCTGCTGCACATGTGCACTCGACAACCGCCAGAATGGCTGTCCTCTTACTCACCCGCATGTGCTTGGCTCGTGCGGCGCACACATCTGGGGGCGGGGGGCATTGTCTTCAAAGGAGGCGGGGCGACGACTCGACTCCTGGTCGACTACGTCGAGCCGGCCCGCACCCAAATCCTTGATTACCTCTTTGTCCCCAACTTTGGCGCCTCCCTACAGCTCCTCAAGGTGGAAATTGGTGGTGATTCGCAGGTTGGTCGACATGCATGAACTAAAACACGCGTACACGCACACGTGGATAGCGCTATCGCCTCCCCTGCCGACCCGGCTCACCCCTTGGCCAACCCCCAACCCCCAACCCCACCTCCTTTCTCAGTCTACGGACGGTACCGAGTCCAGCCACATGCACTCGCCTGATGATCTCGACTATCAGCGCGGCTACGAATGGTGGCTCATCCAGGAAGCCAAGAAACGCAACCCCGACATCAAGATCTATGGCCTGGTACGTGTTAGACGCGTCTTTCATTGACCCACCCTAGCCCGCTTGAATGCGGCCCACCGCCCCCTCCCCATGCTCGCGCGCCCACTCGCCTCAATTTCCTTTGATTTCTTTGTAGCCTTGGGCTTTTCCTGGCTGGGTTGGCGAGGGCTCCGGCTCACCCTTTCAATACCCCAATCTGACTGCCAACTACATTACCAAGTGGGTTGATGGTGCCAAGTACACGTACGGCTTTGATGTCGACTACATTGGTGTCTGGAACGAGCGCAGCTCAGACTCCACCTACGTTCAAACCCTGCGCAAATTTCTCGACGAGGCCGGCTACAACAACACCAAGATTGTCGCTCGCGACGGTGGCGCTGACATTTGTGATGACCTCGCCAAGGATCCTGACTACAACGCGGCCGTCGACATTATCGGTCTCCATTACCCCTCTGATTACTCAAACTACTCCACCTGCTACAACCTGAGCAAGCCCATCTGGGCCTCGGAGGAGTCCAGCTCCTATGACGATCTGAACGGCGCTGCTTGCTGGGGTCGTATCATCACCTCTCACTGGGCCCTGTCCAAGATGACCGGTACGCTTGTGGGCGCTCCACCCCTCCACCGACCACCGAGTCCCCCTCCCCCCCATTCTTGCATCCACTTTTTTGACTCACCCATAATGTCTCTTGCTTCTTGCCTCTGGCCTCTGGCCTCTGGCCACTTGCCTCTGGCATAGCGAGCATCATGTGGAATCTCGTTGGTACGACTCGTTCCACCCTCTCCAAGGGCGCGGCCTCTGCTCGCCTCAATCCCTCACCTCGTTCGCCTCTGCTTGCCAGGCTCCTACCTGCACGGTACCAACTGGTATGCCTCCTCGATGATGACGGCCGTGGAGCCCTGGTCGGGTCACTATGAAGTCAACCCCGTCATCTGGGCCACCGCCCATGTAACGCAGTTCACCAAGGCAAGCTCGCTCTTGGACCCAGCAACCCAGCAACCCACTTTTCACAAGGAACTGACGCTTCCTCCTGCCCCACAGATTGGCTGGATGTACCTTGAAGATGGCTCTGGCTCGGGCCAGCTGCCTCAAGGTGGCTTTTATGTAGGTTTTCCGCACGCATACAAGCCCCGAAGCGGAAATAGCTCCCCTCCGTGTCCATGAACCATGCTCATGCCACCCCTGCGGGCCCACAGGTTACCCTGGTGGACCCAGAGAGCAACGATTTCACGATTAACGTTGTCAAGATTGATGAGGACCACGCTCCTTGCACTCGCCCCTCCCTGCCCTCGTTCAACGTGTCCGAGGAGACAGTCACGTTTCAGCTGGCCGCCAACATGAACGCCCCTGAAACCCTCGCCGTGTGGTACTCCAACTTTGAAAACTACACAGATGATGCTCCGATTTTTGAGCGCCAGGCCGACGTGGCGGTAGGATCGGATGGCACCTTCCAGCTGCATGTGCCCATTGGAGCCATGTACACCATCTCAACCATCAAGAACGGCCCGCAAAAGGGCTCCCATGGCACACCACCGGCCTCGCAGCCCGCCATGCCCCTCCCCATCAAGGACTCTTTCAATGCTTACCCCGAGTCCCAGGAGGCACGTTGGTGGTCAGATCAAATCGGCGCCTTTGAAGTGCACCCGGCAACCGACACCAAGCACACCTCCTCCATCATGCGCCAAATGGTGCCGGAGCTCCCCATTGGCTGGTCGGATCATGGCAGCAATGGCCCCGTGACCATCACGGGCATGCGCGAGTGGCAGGATCTCCGCGTCACCATTTCCGCTTGGATTCCCAACAACGCCAATGATACAGCCGCCTGCGTGGGCACGCGCCTGGATCAGTCCTGGGCCAACGGCATTGCCTTTTGCATCTACACCTCTGGCAACTACACTCTCTCCATTGGTGGGCCCCAACAAGCTACGGGCTATCCGGACAACGTCGTTGCGTCAGGCACCGTGCCCGGTGGTGTCAGTGCCGAGACCTGGTACACCATTGCCCTGGAAACCGTCGACACCAAGGCCAGTGCCTGGGTCAACAACAACTCGGTGTTCTCCGGTGTCACCGTCCGAAACATCGATACCGGATTTGCCGGGTTTGGCTCCAATCTTTGGAAGGCAGTTGAGTTTGATGACGTTCTCGTGGAGAAGGTGGGCAACCGCTGGAGTCCGCTACCCCACTGCAACGCCGATGCCGGAGCCGTCCTTGCCTTGGCCAACTGCACGGTCAATGCTGTCGTCGACGACGCCCAGCGCTTTGAGCTGTTGGCAGACTGGGGCCTACGTCACGTGGCCAGCGGTCTCTGCGCTCAGGCCTCCAACGCCACCGCGGGCGCCCAGCTTGTCCTGGCTCCCTGTGACCCGACCAACACGCTGCAGCAGCTCAAGAACGACTACACCAACATTCGCAACAGGGTCGTGCCCATGACTTTGCAGGCCGACACCAGCTTGGTGCTGGTGGGATTTGCCAATAACACTGTGACTGTTGCGGGCAACGGTGACTACGCCGCGTGGTCCTTCTTTCCCAACACCGGCGAGCTGCGTAACCAGTATGTTGCTAACACCGCCTACGGATTTCCCAAGTGCCTCACGGCCTGCCCGTGATCCATCCCTCGCCGTAATTGATTGGTTTCTCGCAAAAGCTTGCCCGTGGAGGCTTGAACATCTGTCGTGATTTAACTATCGTCACACGTTTGGCTTGCCAGTTGGCCAGGTCTGTGCTCGACCACGTTGGAGATCAGAAGAGTCGATGGGTTAAATGGAAATGGGTCAGGTGGACACTCAATTCTTCGGCACACAAATTGGAACGTCGCTTAGCGAGTTGCTGCATGACCTTGTCTTCACCCAAGAGCGGTGAGCCAAGTGCAGACCGAAACCAGAAACCGGAGCCAGGAAACAGACACAAAATGAAACCCCTGGTTGAACAGAAAAAGAAATTCAACGACAAACTCAAATTCATCATCATCACATCCAAATGACAGGTAGGAAGGAGAGAAGAGGAGCACCACGACGAGTTGACGCTGGCGCCCAGCTGCAAGAGCCGCGAGGGCTGTAGGTTTTGATCAGAATGCATTACTCATCATCCTCTTCGTCCTCCTCATCTTCATCAACTTCGACTTCTTCATCCTCATCCTCCTCATCCTCGTCGACTTCAACCTCTTCCTCCTCGTCCTCGTCCTCATCAGCATTCGCCTGTCAAAGATTCAAAGTCCACCATGCAAGGTAAGCAGTCGACAAGCGCAATACCCAAAGCATCACCATGGATAAATGATACGTGGCCATGAACGCTATCACGTGTCCAGCAAAATGACTGACCTCACTGGCGTTGCGCGCTTGTGCCACAGCTTTTTCGGCGTCGCGAAACACGTTGATCACGTCGTCGCGGGTCTCTGGCACGCTGGCCAGGTGCTCGATGTGTTGCTCGCGGGCCATAACCTTGTTCTTGTACTTGGCCGCAGCCTCGTCCCGAAGCATGCTGCGCTGCATGTTTGGACTGACATAGTCGGCGTTTTCAAAGAGGGTCGGGCCGCCAAAGGTGCCCTCGAAGATGCGAATGACTTGGAGACAGAAACGCGGACCAATCTCAGTCAGGACCATTTCCGAATCCTTGCCAACCTTTCCAGGCTCCTTCCAAGTCACCTGGTAGTTGCGAAACCAGATGCGATCCTCCAGAATGGAGAAGCTGAAAATATGATCAACAAAGGCCTTGCTCTTGGGATGTTGGTTGGGTGTCGCAAATGTCTGTGCAAGCAAGCCAAGATTGACATGAGACCACGGCAAGATTGAGTGGAGACATGGCTCAACCAACGACTCAACGTGTAAAGTAAACGAGTGTAACTGCCCGTTAAACCTCGAGACGGCATGGGGAAAAAAATCCGGTCAAGGAGTTATCAGACATTATTCGATATAGCACCGCGCGCTAGGCGGCTCACCGACGCAACTGGGTGCGCAAGCGAGCTGTCTCGGTGCAAAAGCATAGACACGAACACATGACAACACTTAGATTGGAAAAAAAAAAGGCGGGGGTTGAGGAGTGTATACCTGGAAAAGAATCTCCTTGAGTAGTTGATAGTGCGGCTGGCTGTCAAAAGCCTGACACAGGATGGAGTGAAGCGTCGAGAGAAATGCTTGTGAGCTTGACGCCTGGAAAGTCTGCCAAACAAGTGGCCTCGTGCGTGTAAGCGAGTTTGCGAGGCGAGCAACCCACTTGATCAAACTGCAGCAGAGGGCGCGAACCACGCAGGCAGTTGCCTGTCAACTTGAGCTCGCTCATGGTGTAGACTGAGGGAACCAGCCGGTGCCAGCGCCAACGTGAGGTACCACGCTGCGATATCAACAAGAAAGAAAGAGAGAACAAAAGGGGGATGGTTGGCATGGGTTGGTGAACGAAACGCACTGTCTGTGACCAGAAACTTGACTGAGGGGCCCATGGGCATCTTGCTCATCCACATGTAGACGTCCTTCTTCTTGCGCATCTCGATGTAAATACAGTTGTTGCAGTTCTTCATTTCGCAAATCTGTGCACATTGACAGCCCAGGTGAGAGAAAGATAGGCCTGCCGTGGATGGGCTGCGCAACGCGTGAGCTAGCTCAGAGCAAGGACGAAAGAAAAGCATGGTTCAAACCTCGGGCACAATCTCATTGAGACGATCCTTGCGATCCATCTTGACATCCTTCTTGCTGTGTGGCATCAAAACGCGAAGCTATCGGGCCGGCCATTCATGCCATTTTCGATGAGTTTTTACAACAGAACGTTCTGGACAGCAGAGCAGTCGATTGGCTGGTGTTTTCAAAGTTTTCAAAGAAGGACACCTTGGCCAGGAATCGGAAGCGCCAATCAAGGCCCAGACCAAACTCACGTCTTGAAGCAGGTGGCGGACTTGGAAGGAGATACCGCGCGACGAGAAGACGAGGGTACGTTGACGGTTGGTCCACTTGGGAAACGTGCGTTGGCTACGGTCCTTCATCTGCAAGTCCAACTTGGCAATCTTGGGCTGTGATAGCAACAAATACACAACCATGCACCAGAAAGAGGTCAGCACGAAAAGAGATGGCTACCCCGACGTCTGCAACGACAGCTTGCCCGGTGAAGCTATCGCACCGCGTGGGCAAGCGGGCTTTCAGAGTGCACGACGGCTTTTCACGTACATGAACGGCAGCATTGATATTCTCAACCATTTGATCCTCATCGCGCTTGGCAGCACGCTTGGCGTGCGCCCGGGCCTGATTGGGCTTGCCCATGGCTGCGGTGAAGCTGCCCTGACTCTGCTACTTGCCCCCCCCGCCACCAACACCGAACCACCACCGCAAGAGCAAGGAACGACGCCGAAAAAAAAAATCAAGACATGTGCGTGCGCTCATGTGTGTGTTGTGTGTGTGTGTGTGTTCTCTCTCTCTCTCTCTCTCTCTCTCTCTCTCTCTCTCTCTCTCTCTCTCTCTCTCTCTCTCTCTCTCTCTCTCTCTCTCTTCTCTCTCTCTCTTCTGTGGTCAGAAGGAGATGTGACCAGCATTTTGTGCTGGCTGTACCTTCCACGAAGAAAAAAAAGGATGATGATGATGCGAATGGCAGCGGCGGCGAGCCGGGCGACGGCGGCGGGTCAGACCGCTGTGCGCTCGGCTGCCATGGTGGGTTCGTTTGCGCGTATGAGCACCATGCCGCAAATGACCCTGGCAATGGCGGAAAGCTTTGCTGAGGAACATCAGCGCTTCTTGAGCAACCCAAACATGGTCTACAGCCAGCAGCTCAATGCCATCAAGGTTGGCGCCTGTTGCTGTTGCTGGCGCTTTGCTACTGCTACTGCTACTGCTGCATCTTGTCAAACCTGCCACGGCGCCAGCGGCTTTGAACTGCCACACTGACATGCTTTGCGCCGGCCTCGCGCGTTTCTGTGAATTGATAGACGCAAATGGCAAGTCAGCCCACGAATGAAAAGTGGCAGGCCGCCGTGCAGGTCTACCTTGGATGCCAGGTAGGCTCGAACAACACCACGCGCCCCGAGGCTCCCGCTAACCCAAACACCGGACCCCTTACCTCCACCCACTCCGTGCTCTGAGCATTGGCCACAAGCACGTCTTACTACTCTAGTTGTGTCTGGCCCCGTCGTCAATGCCCTCACCCGTCCGCTATTGGCTTTCTGCGATTGCAGGTCAATTGCATGATCAACTACGGGTTCCGCCCTGATGAGCAAGGTCTGCAGAACTTTACGGAGCAGTTCCAGCGCTTGCGCCAGAGCCAGGGTGCCGGTAGCTCCCTTTCGGCAGCCGTGCGCGAAACCTGGCATACCTTGCTTCAGGAGGCCTTTGACGTTGACACGGCTCAGCTCCCCTCTTTCACGGTTGAGCAAGCCCGTGACATTACCCGCGCCATTGGCCAAAAGCTGCAGAGCGACGCGTGCCACCAAGCCATTGACCGCGCCGTCGTACGTTACCTCTATCGCCCGCCGCTGCCCACTTTCGACGAGCCCGTGCCCCTGGCACACTCGTTTCGCTGGTCCTCATGCTTTTTTTTTTGGCCACACCTCTCATCTGCCTAGGCCGACTTGAGCAGCAGCGCCACTGACCAGGACCGTCAGCGCGCTCTCCTGGGTGTCATCACCCCTATCCAGATGGAGGTGGCTTCATCTTTTGGTCTTGAGGGCGAGCAAGGTACGTGTTTGCCTGCACGTGATGTATCACCTCCACTCAGCCAGTGCTCTCCCCACTTATCATCCTTTTTGTGGACGGCCCTGCCTTTAGGCTATGTCAAGATGCAAGCCTTGTTGATGGTGCACAGCGACGATAGCACTGTACAGTACAATACCATGGCCGCCACCATGCCCCTCTTTACGCGCGCGGGCATCAACGTTGGTGGTGCTCCCACGGCTTGAAGCCGATTCATACCAACCTGAGAATCAAAAGGTCCTACTACACCTCATCAACATATCAGCGCCTGAGACTGTTGCTTGCCCATCCCTTAACCCAAAAAGAAAAAGGATAGCGACAAAAGAAGAAAAAAAGAAACACAAACGCAGCCAGATACATCGAATCCGCTGTTGCTCCACAACGTTGCGGCCCTCTGAGCTGAACAGGGGCGCAACCATGGTCATGGGCTCAGACGTATCATTGGTGCGGCAGATAATTACATCAATATCGATCATGTCGATTGGTTGGCTGGGGCCGGTAGGTGAGGACACGCCGCCACGGGCGGCTACCGAGCGCAGCCAACGGATTCAAAGCAGGTTGAAGCAGAGGGAACACACAAATATACAGGCAGAGACAATCTAAAGCACACGGTGAATGAACGAAGACGGGCACGACTTGAGCTGGCATTGCTGTTCGAAATACGAGCGTGGTCTATCATCCTTAGTCGGGTCGAAATAGCAGTACGGGGCCTATTCAGCTGTTGAGCTGGCGCGTGACCGTCGCTTGGGAGACAGTGCCGCTGTACCGTGCCCGCTTATCCACTGGTTGATGGTCGGCAGCGGGTGCAGCCAGAATGTGGTGCGCATGCCGGCGGACCCAACGCGTGTAGAGCTGATCATCGCGCCGTCCAGCCTGAAAGAGCTGCCGCTCCATGTGGTCCAAGCGCCGCTGTTGTGTTGATGTAAAGTCTTCCGTGGCATTTTGAGACAGTGCCAAGATTTTGGGATAGCGCACGCCGAATGCCTGGTCACAAGGGCCAACACCCGCCCCCAAGTCGAACAGAAAATTACCGGATATGAGGCGAGCATGGGAACAGAGAAGGCATGACAGGTGTACCACGGCGCGTGGACCTACGTGCTCCAGGTTGCGGGCCAGCTCTTCAGTCTGTGGCAGGTTCAGCCCTAGGATGCGCAAACCATAGCGATAAAAGTATGGACACCACTCGTAGAGGTTGATGACATCGGCGTCGGCCAGCAGCATGTTGCGATGCGCGCTGTTAAACACCCGCGGTAGTTTGAAAGATAGCATCTCGGGCGCCTGATAGCAAAGGGTAAAGCATCAAGACAAACGGTTAATCAAGCCGACCAGCGCAGGGACACGGACGACGCGGTGCCCGGGCGCAAGCCAAGCCCCCTCCGAGACGGATTTTCTTCAGCACCCGTACCTTCTCGCGAAGCTCCGGGATCATCCACAAGGGCAGCTCGAGGGAGGTGTGAGCGGGCAAGTGGCTGCCCTGGATGCTTGACCCTTTTAGAGGAGCCAGGTTGAAGCAGATGATCTCAGTTTCGCTCGGTACCTAAAGCACGATGCACCGCCGCCGACAAAGCCCAGACGGAAAGAAAAAACTGTTTGAGGGGTACCAGAGCTTGAACGCAGCCATTGGTGAGCAGGACCGTACCTTCTCCTCCTCCAGCAGGATATCATGAAGGTCAAAGTAAGACATGATGGAACGGTCCAGTGGCTCCTCTTTTCCCCATTGGCAGAGCCAAGCTCAAGGCCCGATCTCCCCGCAACCCGCGAGCGAGCCCGTTGCTCCCCCAGCAGCTCAACGAGAAAAACGTTTTTTCCTCTCTCGCTCTCCCGCTCTCTCTCGCTCACACACACACACACACACAACATCGAGAAGACGATAACGGCCAGTTCGTCTGACATTTGCTTTGATTTTATCTGACATCTGACATTTAAGGGTGGGGTCTCGTTGGTTGTTCTTGCCATCTGGCGGGTTGATCTTGCGGTGCTCAAAAGATCGTGAACTGGCTGGAGCCCTTCCTTTCGCCTCGGGAATGGGGCCCCTTCACGACTGACTGATGGTAGGCGATGGGTGGGGTTGTTGCAGCCCTCCCTCCTGCGCATTGGGGAGAACCGAAGACGATGACCGCCAGCAGTAGCACGCGTGTCATCGGTCTGGCCGGCAATTTACTCGCAAGCGTGGCCACCGGTCAGAACCTGGTCCCGGCTCGCGTCTCGCCTGCTGTTTCTAGTGTCTTCTTGCCTCGAAGGCTATTATATGGCAGCGGCCTATCGAAGAATACCCCACATCATGGCCAAGGCAGGCAACCCCCGGCCCGTCGTCGTCTGGTTTCGCAATGACCTCCGCGTACATGACAACGAAGTGCTTCTCCAAGCCGCCAAGGTATGCTCCTTCGCTGCCCACTGACGTTTATTCAAGCGTGTTGAGAACCCCCGACGAGCTGGCGACCCCATCACACCATCTTTTCAACCCCCAACCGCAAACCTCTGCACATAGGCCAGCCACAATCATGTCGTGCCAGTCTACTGCTTTGACATCCGTCAAGTTGGACCCAGCGCCAAGTCCAGGTCAAGCCAAACAGAGCCCCGGTGCTATCGCCACCCAGGGGCCCGAGTACTCACTTGTGATCACCCACCGCTCACGCAGATGTGGCCAATTTCCCAAGTGTGGTCGACCCCGCGCAAGATTTCTGATCGAATCCGTTGACGACCTCCGCACCCGCTTGCAAGAGCTCGGTAGTGGCTTGGTCGTACGCACCGGCCTGCCTGAGGAGGAGGTGGCCCGAGTGGCCGCACAGGTCGGCGCAACACAGGTCTTCGCTCATCAGGAGGTGTGCTCGGAAGAAGTGGCAGCAGAGCATCGCCTCAAGCGCCAGCTTGAGGTTCCCCTCTCCCTTCACTGGGGTGCCGTCACCCTCTGTCACCTCGATGACCTGGACTTTGGCCCCCGGTGCAAGCACCTGCCATCCGTGTTCACCCAATTTCGCAAGCGCGTCGAAGCCGACATGCATGTGCGCCCCGTAGTGGCCGCACCTGCGCGCCTCGCCCCGCTCCCATCCGATCTGGAGCTTGGCTCCATTCCCACCGTCGAGGACCTCTGCCCAGGCCAGCATGTCCTTGCACAGGTACGCCTGCTCGACTGCTGCCTCGCCCACCCTGACAGCACGCGTGTCTCTCAAGAGAACCAGCCTTTTGTATATCGGCAGAGTGAAGAGGAGCCAGATGAACGCGCCGTCCTGCCTTTCAAAGGCGGAGAGACCGCCGCCCGCGCGCGACTGCAGTACTATCTTTGGGAGAGCAATCTCCTCGCCAGGTGTGTTGGGCGCAACTGGAACAACTGCTATTCGGCACACTGTCTTCCCCTGCCCTGGCCTGATCATTGCTTCATGGATCGTTGCATGCTTTTCTGCTCTCAGCTACAAGGACACACGCAACGGACTTGTGGGAGGTGACTACTCGAGCAAGTTTAGCCCGTGGTTGGCTCATGGCAACCTCACCGCCCGATGGATCTATCACGAGGTACGATCCTGATGCATTTTGTTTTATTGTTCGCTTGTTTGTTGTTTGTTTGTAAAAAAAAAGGAGCAATCGTGTTTCTCAAGGCGTGTCCAACGGCCTAGGTCAAGCGCTATGAGCAGGAGCGCACGGAGAACACGAGCACCTACTGGCTCATCTTCGAGCTCTTGTGGCGAGACTACTTTCGCTTCGTCGCACTGCAGCACGGCACTGCCATTTTCAAGCCAGGTCAGCAGCACTTCTCTCTTGGATGGGCGCTGCCACCGGAACTCGATCAGCCTCACTGCCGCTCATGCCCATCAAAGGGGGGGTACAACACAAGGATGTGCCCTGGCGCCACAGTCCCGCAGACTTTGAGGCTTGGCAAAATGGGCAGACTGGCTTTCCGTTTATCGACGCCAACATGCGGGAGCTGGCAAAAACTGGCTTCATGAGCAACCGTGGACGACAAAACGTGGCGTCGTTTCTGACAAAGGTTAGCCTGCCCGCAGTCATTGCTCTTCTCTTCTTCTTCTTCTGCTTCGTTTCCCGTGCATGTAGGCCTGGCCTCTCGATCGTATGGTCCTTTCCCTTTTGACACCGCGATCCAAGTTCCCTCGTTCTTCTTGGTATCTTACCTGTACTGTCCAGCTCAAACCATACCATGTGGCTTGTCTCGCTCCTCTTACGCGCCCAGGATCTGCAAATCGACTGGCGCTTGGGTGCCGAGTGGTTTGAGACGCTGTTGTTGGACCATGATCCCTGCAGTAACTATGGTGCGCCTCCTCGCCCAGGCACCAATGCTCTCAAATTTGTGTGCAATGATGTTCCGACAACGTGGTGGCTAACTGCATCAATGCCATTTCTCCCCTCAGGCAATTGGAACTATGCTGCTGGCGTTGGCAACGATCCCCGACAAGGCCGGCATTTCAATGTCATCAAGCAAGGTCTGCATGTCACAAACACTTGCATCCAGTGCTTCGGACAAATCCCTTGATGCCCATTTCTGCTGCACCAGCCTCACTCGACTCACGTGTGCACCAGCCAAAACCTACGACCCAACGGCTGAGTACGTGCATCTTTGGGTCCCCGAGCTACGTGGCTTGGATGCACCGCAAGCACACGTCCCCTTCAAGGTTGGTCGATCTGACACAGCCGGTTGCAATTACACATACACGTCGGGCCTGATGGATATCGGACTTTCCATAAACAGTTGAGCTCAGAAGAGCTGGCCCAGGCCAACATACAACTCGGAAGCACCTATCCCCGACCCGTGGTGGATCGCTTGGATGGCGGGCGTTTGCCTCTCAAGGTACGTGACGAAACAGCATATGGCCCGCATGTGCAACTGCCCCAGCAAGGACTCATCAAAATGATCCTGTTTGACACTCTTTTCACAGGACTTTCATGGTAGCAAGCCCTTTTCAGGGCCCGGCTGGATGAAGCAGGGGCAGAAGGATCACGGACGCGGGGCTGATCGCAAGAGGCAAGGGAAGACCAAAGGAGGTGGCCATGCGTCGGATGCAGCCGACAGAAAGCCACATCCTGAAGGTTCTTCGGCCCATGAAAACCCAGGGCGGCACTCAAGCCACGCTCCAAGAGGCAAACGTGCCGGCAAGCGCGTGCAAGGGGCATGGGCTTGAGTCAAGTCTGGACGCATGCCAACACCGTTCTCTCAACCAACTATTTGCGCTGCGTTTCCTCCTCAACCAGTTGACCCTCGACTGTGCTTTTATCTGTTGTCGCTATGGATGTATGCCCAACGGTCTAAATAAATTATCATGAGTAATGAAAGACTTGAAACTCAAAAAAACGGAATGTGAGAAGCCCGCTTCATGGCTAGTCATGGCTAGCACTACTCGCGCAGATGTAGCACGTGGCGCAGGGTTGCGGCGGCACGAATGTCAAGTTGTACATGACCGAGGGGAATTTCCCCGGGAGCCGGCTCGGCCGAGGCAAAAAGGGGAATGTGCTCATCTTCAATATCCTTGCCCGAAGCAAGAATGTGTTCCAGGTCCACGGCGGCCCAACCCACCGTCTCGCATGGGGTCACGGCATCTACACACGCACATGCGCTATCAGCTGGCGGATCGTGACTTGATGCTCAGATAATTTGAGCGCCAGATAGAGACTGTTACGTACCATCCTCTGGTGGCTCGCTTACAAGTTCAAAATATATCACATACGAGCTCTACCCAATTTTGCGGCAGGAAATGAGTTTGAGCCGGGCTGCACACACACACACACACACACACACGTGTGACGCTGTTGTAAAAGTACATCAAGCTACGTACAAAGCGCTTGATCTGCTTGACAATGGTGCGCAGCATCTTCATGGAGGCATCTCCGCCCACCTCTGACTCAGCCTGGCGCTCGGCGCCATCAAAGTTAAATTGCAACTGCCAAAGCAAGATACAAGCATGAGCGTGTGCTGGACGAGCTCGGCACTCAAACCAATTGCGACGATGCAGTGCTGCAGCAAACCTGAAACTGAAAGTCGACTGGATGCCCTGTGGTAGGCTTTGGCAAGGAGACTGGGGTTTCTAACAACCGTGAATCCACGTGGGGGAGCTCATAACTGGAAGCACATTGTCGGGATGATACATGATATGCACCATGTGAGTGGCGGCTTCTCAGCTCGCAAGTTTTGTGTCGCGCCACATCATCGTAATCACACCTGAAGAAAAGATTATGAATGTTGGGATCGGTGACCACGGGCGAGTTCACGTCCAGCTGAAGCCTGCAGCATCAAAAGATTTGATGAAGGGGAAAAAAAAAAAAAAAAAAAAGGCGCAAAAGTTGCACAAGAGTCATGATTCTCAAGAGAGCAACCGCAGACGGCGTACTGGTGAATGGCAATGGTCAAGGGTGGCGCTGTTTTGATCTTGCTGGACCGTTTGCCCGTGCTGTTTGCTGAAGTGCCACTACAGGCGAGGCAATGTCAGAGGATTAGCACCAAATGTAGAAGATGGCATGAGCAACTCCGAGAACAATCCAACCGAAGCGGTCTGCACACTGGCCACTTACGTTGTAGCCCCTGTATCGGAGTTGCCCAGTCCTCGTTCATGGGGCACGGCCAGATGACCCGTGTCGCCCATCGGCTCCGCATCCTCGGGCACAGGCGAGAGGGGTTGATGGCCCCGTGTCTGCCCCTCTAAATCAAGCAATGCACGCGCGGGCTCCTGCATCTTTTCTGGGCTGGGCGATCGCGGCTTGGGCGCTTCCGAGGGGGGGTTAGTGAGGGCTGCCGACTGAGACTGGCGATCTGGCAGCACCGGCGTCTCAGTTGAGGCAGGCTCGGGTTGAGTAACATCGCGCTCCTCTGCAGGCGGATCAGCGACCGGAGCGACCACGACTTTGGCCTGCAACGGGCGCGAAGGCGGCGAATCCTGGTCCAACGGCGCAGCCACTGCCGAGTTGGATGAAATCGGTGTGGCTGGGGTGCGCTTCACCGCTGAAGTGCCGGTGGTCATAGCTACAGGCGGGCGGGCAGGCTCGCCGTCCGCAAGCGCACCCTGAAGTGCGGGCCGATCTTTGCTTTTCTTGGGCTGTTCACGAGACGGCTCGGGTTTCCATTCCAGATAGGTGGTAATTACACCAATTTTTGTACCATCTGCAGCTTGCAGATCCCAGGTTTGCGAATGCTTGGTTGCAGTGTCTGGCAACGCCAGTGACGCTTGAGCCACGCCGACCAATTCTGCTGTGCCATCATCTTGCTCTTGAATGACGTAGACGGGCACCTCATTGCCAGCCAGCCAGGCACGCCACTCCGCTGCGTCGTAAAGTGCGAGGACTTGCTGGTCTTCGAAGCGCGGCTGCAACGTGCCACGAACCGTTTGGGTGAACGTTTGAGGTTCGTCGCGAATCTGATAGGCTGCGTAGAGCGCGGGGCCGGAGCCGCTGTTCGGACCATGTGGCAAGGCCGCCTCATTGACGTCAGCAGAAACGATGCCAAAGTGAAGAAGGCTAGGTCGCAGGCCGTCAGGCAGATCACGCGCCACACCTTGTCCTCGGAGGGCCTGTTGAGCCTTGAGTCGCTGCCGGTACTGGCGGAAGGTACGCTCCATGGGCTTTTCAAATCGCGCTGACAGGTACACGTGAGCCAGCACAACACTCGGGTCACTCAAGGCAAACATTTCTGCAGACATGAGCACGCGCTGGCCAGCCGCTGCGGATGGGCTCTCGGCCAGCTCCATCAGACGGATATGGGAACACGCCACCGTAGTGAAGCTAGTCCCAGCCGCCATGTGCAACTCCACTGGCATTTTGCCTTTGTAAAGGTAGGATATGAACGTCTCATTGACGGTGAGTTTGAAGAAGGAGCTGTGGTTGAAGGGGATGCGCAGCCCGTTCAGGACAGGGGTGGCCTGCGTCTCATGCTCAAAAAAGTCAAAGGTCACGAACAAGCCCGGGGTATGGTGGGGCAGGACTGACGCTCCGGCTGCCGTCACCTCGACGCGTCCGATTGTGAGTTCAAGAACGTTCTCGCCGTGCTTGAGGTCTACAGCCAACGCCGCATGGGCCGGCACCACGCTCAATTTGTCGGCACTGCCATCAGGCGCGTGACGGGGCAACACGTGCTGGTAGGTGCCGTAAGCAATGGTCTGCAGCCGCTCCTGAAGTCGCTGTATCTCTGCCTGCTTGTGATCAAGCTCCAAGCTGAGACTTTTCTCCTTCTCGTAGAGTTGTTGCTGCAGATTCTCGAGCTGTTCAGCCGTGACGCGAGCGCGCTCCTGTTCCTGGCGCCGGATGACGCTCTCAAACTCAAGCAGCTGCTGCAGCTTATCTTTTTCCAACAACAGGTCCGCATTGGCCGTGCGAAGGGCATGTAGTTCTGCCGTCAGCTCGCCCGAATCTGCGTGTGTGGGCAACAGAAAGGCCAGGTCGTCGTTGGAGAGACCCTCGGCCCGCTGTTGCTGCACCAAAGCCAGAGCGCGGTCAAGCTGTTGCATGTCCATGGCGCTTTCGTCGGTGAAAAAGGCCAAGCGCTGCTGGGCCTGCTCAGCCTCTTCCTTCAGCTGTAGGTGTTTGAGGTGCAGGGCACGATACTCGCTCTGCTTCTCTGCTTGCTCCTGTTTGGCGCGGCTCAGCTGATCCAACGTGTCAGCATGACTGGTGCGGAGCGTTGTCAGTGCATCGTTGAGCTGAGCGATTTCAGCCTTGAGCTCGCTCTGCAGTTGTCGATGATGTGCGTCGCGGTTTTCATCAAAGGCTGCGGCCAACAATTTGTCATTTTGAGCTTTGAGTTGTTCGAGTTCTGCGCGCAGATGACGAGAGTCGGCGTCGTGCTCCATGGATGACGAGGCTTGAGCTCGTGCCTCGGCCAACTCTTGTCTGACTGTCTGTGTCTCCTGTGCGCGTATCAACAATGTTCAAACACAAGCGGAAGTGAGAGGGCACAACCACGGCCATGTGTGACAAGGGAAAAAAAAAGAAAAGAAAAAAAAAAAAAGGGGGGGGGGGGGGGGGGGCAGAGCTGGCCACACCTCCCGTTGACGCTGGAGATCTGCCTCACGATCGGCAAGAGCCTGTTGTAAGAGCGTCAGCTCGCGTTTGGCGGTACCATGATCCTCGTGCGCCACCTTGACCTGAGCTTCAAGCTCCACGACTTGTTTAGCACGAGCCTCAAGGGCTTGTTGTAGGCGGTTCATGCCAATGTTGCTTTGCACATTATTCTGGCGCTCCCCAATTTCCTTGCTGTGCAGGCGATCTTCCAACTGTTGGCACTCGTCGAGTGTCATCTCCAGAGTCTCCTCAAGTTTGCGCACTGCCGCCTGTAGGCTTCTTATTTGTCCCTGCGCCATTTGTTCGCGTTGCCGACTGGCGAGCAGGCGGGCAAATCAAGCAGACGGAAAGTGGTGGCTAGCGTCACGTAGCGCAGTGGGCTGGTCGTGCCCTGAGCTTACCTGTCTTGTAGTTCGTTTTCAAGTTGTTGGTGGCGAGCAGACCATTTGGTTTCATGGGCGGCCAACTCTGCGAATGATGGCCAGCAAAAATAGCAGTCGTCCAGGTACCATCCATGCAACCGTCATTAGCCTCGCTCGGCCGCTCGGGGTATGTACAGAGCAGTCGGGGTCGTACCTTCTCGGTGGCGCTGCTGAAGCTGTTGTTGCTGCTGTGCAGTGCCTGGCCGTACGCTGGGCCGGCGAGACCCTCCCAGGGATCCGGATTTGCCAGATTTCTCGCCAGCTGTGGCACGAGCCAGTTCAAGCTTCCGCGTCAAATTTTCGTTCATTTTCTCAAGCTGTGCCATTTGGTGGCGAGCGTCCGTCAGCTGGCCCTCCAATTCAATATTACGGGTTGCTACGGCAATGCGTTGGTAAGCAGCACATGAGTTGATGTGGACCTACCACATTCGAGGAAGAGCAAATGGGTTTTCAATGGGTGGGACCAACCTTCGTTGACATTTTCGTCGTTGTGCTGGCCTGCGTACCGCTTCAGCTGCGCCATGAGCCGTGCATTCTGCGTCGATAACCTGCACAGAGCAAGGAAGCGGTCAGACTTGACCGTCAATGGGAAAGAAAAGCAAGATAAAATCAGCTGTGTTGTATGCAGGTCCGCCCGAGGCATACCGCTTGACTTCGTCCTCTTTCTGCCTCAGCTGGCTTTTCAGCGCCAGGTTTTCGTCTTTATAGCGCAGAGCAGCATCATCAGCCGCTCCATCGCCCGGGCCCCTGAGCGGCTTGCCCGCGCTCTCGTAGCGCAAGTTGGCAGGGCCTAGCAGTGCCCACACGTAAGTTGCGATCGCCAATGATAGGCAACTTTGACATGTGTGTTGTGGTGCTGAGACGAACCTTTTGATGCGCGTCGTGCAGACATGGCGCTGCTGTGTGAGGCCGCAAACGCCAGACACCGATGCGCAGAAGAAGCGGACAGAAAGTGGTGCCGTCACCCAAATTCAGGCATACTACGCCACCATTGCCCCACGCCCAAAGGGAAGGAGGATGCCGCCGCTAGGTAGTCCGTAAGAAAACTTGCCCTCGTTCCCGCCTTTTGGTCTGCTCGCAGGCGAGCCAAGGGCATCAGCATCAGGCACGCACGCACACAACACACACAACAGCCATCTGCGCGCTCCTCCAATGCCACAACATCTTTGCCCGTGACAGCAACACGCCCAGCCCAGGCACACCCGCAAAGCACAGCCAGCCGGACCCACCATCAACCGCATACCTGATCTCCGCGCCCCTTTCAAAACTCCTCAAAAAAAAATAATTCCGAAATTGAAATTTCAACGGACAAACACCCTTTTGCTTTTCTTTTTGGGGGGGTGTTGTCATCATTTTCTTGGGCTTTTCAAATTTGCCTTTTGACATGGCATGGAGCACGCTGGCTCACATACTCGATCTGGAATGGTGCAATGAGCGAAAATGTGTCTTGTTGTCCAAGGTTGCTGATCAATCTGAAAGCACATGGGACATGGGACAGCATAGAGGTATGGAAAAACAGGTTGAGGCCAACAACCCAAACAGGCTTGGCTTAGAGAGGAAAAACATGGAAGAAACCACGAGAACATTCCTATGCAGCGAGCACATCCAAGAAAAATGGCAAAAGGTACCAAGAACATAGACATGGACAGAACGGGGAAACCACTAAAACGACCGGTGTGCGGCTCAAGCATCTTGGCCGATAGATTTAGCCTCGGGCAAAAAGCCCTCCCAGGCCTTTACGACTTGATGTTGCAGGGTCATCATCGACTCGACATACTCGACCAGGCTCGCCTTGAGCTCGTTGGCCTACCACGCGAGCAAATATATTGCGTGATGACGTGAGAACCAAGATGTCGTAATGTGGACCAGCTTCCACTCATGCGCTTCAAAGGCAACAAATCAGTGATGCCGAGTTTCCCAACTTACACGCGAGATATCAAAGCGCTTCCATTCCTTCTTGATCAGCGACGAAATTTGCTCAAAGTTGGCTCGAGTAGTCTTGACTGCCTCCTCCGCCTGTGGGCACCAACATTGTATGAGGCATTCAGTTATTTCTCGAATAAATACCACTTGGGCCCTCAACCCTCCAGTTGAGGCGTTGCTACGTACATCTGTAACATCCTGTGCCGCCTGGTCTAGCTTGTCCGTGCGGTTACTCGCTGCGGTGCCGGCACAAGGCATGAGACACGATATCACCCGCCTTTGCCCCTTTCCCGAGATTCACAGCACTCAAACAAGCCACGCCAGCTCGGCCCGGGAAATGAAACTATTCTCAGCCTCCATGTCGAGCAAACGACAAGGACCATACCGGTGTATTTCGCTTCAAGATCACGCTTCTTGACCAAGTTGGTCTCGGCATTTTGCCAGGCACGAAAGGCGCCAATGCGTTGCTCGAAGCAGATCTAAACATCAAGGTCATGGGCGTGTGAGTGGCGTGGCTCGTTGAAAACGAGGTATCAAGCGCTTGACAAACATATGAGAAAAAGAACAGGAAGGGTCGCGGGCTGAAACCATCACTGACCTTCATGGCACCACACAGGGAGACAAAGTCCGCCACAATTTCACTCATGTCGAAAAAGTCGCGGCGTTCTTGCTTGCCATGCAGACGAGCCACCCGCGCTTCCACGTCGGCCATCTGATGCATGGCGCTCTTCAGCGATTCAACCTCTTCGGCATCAGCCAACTCGGCAAAGCTTTCAGCGAAGAAGGTTGTGTGGTGTGCAAGTTCCTTGCGCTTGGCCACCAATCTGATTAAAAGACGCAAGGATGAGGGTCAAAAGCAAGTGGGGTGATGGTCAACATTTCAAGGCCACATCAACGTACTGTTCAAGCATGGCATGCAACTTTTTGAGCTGGCCTTCAAGAGCCTCGAGCTCGCCGGTCTTGTCCGCGAACCACTCGTCGGCCTCGGTATAAGTGGAAAGCTTGGACATGAGGCTGGCAATGGCGCTGGCCTTGGGCTTGGCCACCTAGCAAAAGGGCAAGAAGAACGTAAGGAAGGCAGAATCAAGACTGGTAGGGGCAAGTTGGGACTGGCGCCGAACAGAGAGCACGCAGGCCAGTCGTACCTTTGTTTCTGTCGTGAGGAACGTCTTGAAGACGTCGTCGGATCGGAGAATGGGGTGGGCGGCGATGCGCTGCATGAAGCGCTCAAGAGCAAACTGACGCTGCTCAATGAAGGGGGTCACCTCATCGCCCTGCGACTTGAACTTCATCATTCCGGTACCGACGGCGCTCTTGGGAGGCGGGGGAGGCACCAAAAGGCCCGGGTACTTTTCCACCAGATACTTGTAGAGCGCATGAAAATCTGAGTAACGATGTTGCACTTCAAAGCTGGGCTGGGCAAAGCCCTTCATGGTGGTCTGCAAAACAACAACAATGATCCCGACGCGCCATCCGAGTTGAAAGATGAGCAGTACGTTGGCTACTCGAGACAATTTCGCAAAGAGAAGAACGGCAGGGGAGCTGAAATGCAAACGGATGGTGCTCAAGGAAATGTACCTTTGTGTTGAGGTTGTACACCATGTAGCTGCCCATGCCATCGCCGATGCGCTGGGGATCGGAGACGCTGATCTCCAGAGTCCCAGGATCCACGACTGGCTCAGAAGATTCAGAGGACGAGATCTTGCGGGTCTTGGACGCAGCCTGTCCGGTGTGCCGATGCCATACACCGAGGTGTTTGGGTGAGTGAAGTGAAGGCTCAGCAGGCATTCAGAAAAGCAGAGGTGGGTAACCTTGGCAGGTGCAGGTGCAGCAGCGGGTGCAGGTGCGGCAGCAGGTGCAGGTGCGGCAGCAGGTGCAGGTGCAGCCGCCGCAGCTGGAGCAGGTGCCTATCGTCACGATTCCAACGGAAAATGAATATTTGTTTGCGGCGAAGAAAACAAGGCTGAGCACGCGATCAAAGGGCGTACAGGCTTGGTAATGGTCGTTGATTTGCCAGCAAACATGTCGTCGTCATCGTCATCGTCGTCGTCATTGGCATTGGCAGCGGGGGCAGCAGCCGCAACTGCAGGTGCAGGCGTTGGCTCTTCAGGCTCGGCTTCGGGCTCGGCTTCAGGCTCGGCTTCGGGCTCGGCTTCGGGCTCGGCTTCGGGCTCGGCTTCGGGCTCGGCTTCGGGCTCGGCTTCGGGCTCGGCTTCGGGCTCGGCTTCGGGCTCGGCTTCGGGCTCGGCTTCGGGCTCGGCTTCAGCTTCTTCTTCATTTTAGGGAAACGGCAAGAATCAAGCATCAGCGCACAGAACGAGCGCCATTTGTGGTCATACCCAAGAAACCAACATACCAGCGGCAGCACCTGGCGCTGGGGCTGGGGCCGGCTCTGACTCCTCCTCATCGTCATCGTACAGATTCACATCTTCAGTTGGAGGCACCTCCTGCATTATGCGCGATGCAAACGAGGGCCGAGTCATGCCGGTGAGATGGACGCTGTGGATGGCCAACCTGGATCTGGGATCAAAAGAGCACCACGCCAAGAAGCACCTCATCCTCAGGAGGTGGCGTCGGCTTGGTGTCCTCATCGGCCATTGTGCTGGAGTGTGCTAGACAAGTGAGCTGCAACGAGGCGAAGGACCAACAACCAGAGCCGGAGCAAAGGGTCAGTGAGTTGAAGCTTTAAAAAGAACCTGCTGCAACACCAACACACTGGCCAATGTTGAACGAAACTCCCCCCCGCAAGTGCACCTACAGCCCGACCCCGTCCCCCCCCCCCTCAGCCAGTTGACCTCCTGATCCCTTTGTGACCCCCAATACCATCCCACCTCCCATCCCATCCCCGCGCTGCCACTGACGCGATATCAAGAGACAGGAGCGAGCGAGCTGGAGGACACAGAGAGAGTGTGTGTGTGAGAGAGAAAGAGAGAGAGAGAGACAAGTGTGCTCTCGGCTAATGTGTGAGAGATGTGAGTGAGAGGGATGATGTGTGAGAGGTGATGTGAAACCTTTATCGGATATGAAGGGAAAACCAGAGATGGCATGAAGAGATCGAACAGACAAGAGAACAAAGAAACTGTTACCAAATGAAATTACCAGCCTGCTTGATGACATTCACGTCGTAACACACGTAAACAACACGATATGGCAGCGGGATCTCGGTCTGAACAAGAGAGAGGGAGAGGGGAAGGGAGAGCTCGGTGTGCGGACGTGAGCAGAGTGAGCGAGAGCTCAGGCAACCAACATTGGCCTCTCTCCCCGCCCCAGCGCACCTCGCTCGCACAAGACCAAAACACGGCCGTCACAGCCCTCTGGCTCCTCCTGAAACCTGAATCACTTTCACCCCCGTTAATACCTGCTAAAAGAATACAATTTTCACACCTCGGCTTGCAAACCGCCCCCGTGCTGACAATTCGTTGTCAGACTTTTCGGGCGGGCCAAGACGAGCAGCTCACCGTGACACTCCGACCCTCGTGTCGTGTCGTGTCGCGTCGTGTCGTTGCGGTTTGCTGCCGTGCTGAGGGCGCTGCCTGCTTGCTGGCTCCGATCTCTTCTGTTCTGAGCAAGCCCCGGACGACTCTGGACACCATGGGTGAACGCGTGGACGAGCTGGTAGCCAATCCCCTGGCTTGGAAAAGCGTGCTCGCCGAGTGCGCACGCGATCCCGACGCCCTGGGCGCTGCTCTAGCAGACGATGCGGACCGTGTCGCTCAAAGTCTTTTGGAATTATCATGGCAGGATGCAGCTCTGCGCCATGCCCTTCGTGCCCTGGCCAATCTAAGCAGTGCAACCCTCCCCGATGATGTGGAAGCCCGCCTGTATGACCAGCTCTATATCCCCGTCCTCGCCCGCTTCGGCACCTGTCTCCTATGCGTCCGCACCGCCCCCTCCTTGGAATCCCATGCGCCCGCCGCCACCATGATCTTTCTAAACTGCATTGTCAAGCGGCGTGCCTGCCGTCGCCTGCCCGGCCCCGCCTGTCTGGATATGCTCATGCTGCGCGCCCTTTTGTTTCTCATCCAGCAACGTGCCCCTCTGGCTTCGCCGCCCGACAATGACAGTCAAAGCGAACCTGCTGACGAGCCTGCCCGCCCCTCTGACCTCACCCTGGATCTGGCCCTCGTTGCCATACTTCTCCTGCCCCGCCTGCCTTGTTTCCCTGACGTCCTTCGCTTCCTCGACATGGCTCAGCTTGGGGACCCCACGGTGAACCCAGATACAGCCGACGCCAGCAGCGAAGGCTACGACCTCAGTCCCGACCTTCCGCCAGAATTACAACGTGAATGGGATGCAGCCACCGCTGCCATTCGCAGTGGCGTACGCCCCGATCCTGATGTTGCCCACCCCACTGCCGCCAGCTCTGTCGAGCTTCCGGAAGACCTCTGCTATCGTGGCCTCGAAGAGGCCGAGCGCCTCGATGCTCGAGAGCTGACCCTCCGTCTCATCCACGTGAAATCCGAGCTGGTGGCTATTCTTGCCAAGCGCCTGCCCGACATGCATCTCGACCCCACGGTACATGACGACGACCGAGTGACCATTGAAGATAGCCATGAGCCTCGCATGGCCCTGCCGAACCTGCTGCACCTGGCTCGCCACGCGCTTCAACTCCTAGCCCTCCTGCATGATATTGAAGCCTGGCGGAACGACGGGCTGCAACCCATTCAATCGCAAACGCATCTCCTGCTCATTGCCCTTGCCACCACCGCCCTTCACGCCGACACGCCACTGGTCAGTCTCCTTGCTGCGAGCGAACCAACGCTGTGCCATTCCACGTGACCACGCGTGACGATAGTACGCCACCACAAACGTACAAACACGCGTCTTTGTCCCTTGTTCCATTCTATAGAAGCTGGAGCTAGGTCAAGCTCTGTTGCCGCGCTTGGTACCAGCTCTGCTCGAGGTGCGTATGCACTGTACCCCACGCGCTATCGCAATGATTAGCTGACGGTGGTCCTCGGTGAACGGTGCTGAGTCAGATCCGCAGCTGGTACACGCCGAGTGGTCGCGATACCGTCGTCCCCCTTCCTCGACGTGGTTTCCTAAGCATCTGCCTCCGCCTTGTGGGCAACCTCTTGGCCGACTGTCCCGACAATGTCACGCTTCTTCGCACCCATGGCGTTCGTCTAGTTGATTCACCATCCCCATAGTCCTCACTTTTTGACCATGCATTTGTAGTGTTGCTCTCGCTTGTGCCCTCACTTCCGGGTGTGGCTGTTCGCACTGTTAGGGCATTCCGGCTGTCATGTCTTTCATGTGCCACGACACGTTTCAGCCCCAACTTTATGGTTTGCACCTGCCCTGCATGCGTTCGGTGTGGCCCAAGCCCCTACCAGCTCCCGCTGCGCTCACTACTTGTTGCCTTTGCCTAGAATGGACGGCTCTGGCCATCCGGCACATCTGCGCAGCTGGTCCAGAGAATCTCGCGGTGGTCCAGGACGTGCAGCGAGCCGCTGCAGATGCTGCCGAGCAGCACCTACAGAATAAAGTGCAGGAGCGCTGAGCCTGTGGGCACCTCGTACTTTGGAGCCTGCCGACCCGTGTTCATATTCTGCGTGTAATTGAGGATTTTGCCTGATTTTTCAAGGTTTTTTTTTTTTTTTCAGCTTTTTTTTTTTTTTCCAAACATGAGCATCGCTTTTCCTGCAAAGGCATTATTGCGAGCAACGTGGTGTGTACTCATGTCGGTGCTGGTTGTCTGTGAGAATAATCATACCAGGCCCGAAATCAGAGTTCTCCATTTGGATCCAGTACAAAGCGGATGTCGATCTGGTGTACCTGAAGGGCTTTGACCTGACGATGTTATCGGCAGACCCGAAATCTGCATCCCCTTGCAGAAAAATGCGTGAGGGTTCGTGTGCTCTTCGTCCGTTAGAATGGGAGGAGGACAAGTCTGGGTTTGTGAAACGGTGAATGACTCTCCATCAAGGAGGAATAGAAGGACACATTCCTGAATTGTGAACTCGATCAGAAGAGGGTCAGCGCCGGGTCGGGCACAACTTTGAGAGAATAAGTGAAGCGGGCACGGGTGGAGATCCCTACCCATAAAGCCAATACATGTATCTCTCTAATTAACCAAGGTTGTCAGGGCCCTACTCCATACGCTCGGCGATAAATGGGTGGCGCAGGGCGTCTTTGACGGTGATGCGCTTGTCGGGGTCGACAATGAGCATGCGGTCTAGCAGGTTGGCAAAGCTTTCGAAATGACGCGCTTCATCCTCGGACAGGGTGTGGTTGCGCAGCAAGAGTGACTTGAGGTCGCGTGTGGGCTTGGTCAGCGGAAGGAGCGTCACTTTTTCCTAAAAGTCGACCAAGGCCATGGCCACGTGAGCAGACAAGCAACAGCATGCCGTGTCATCAACCTCCCACTTTGTTCAATCGATGGCGGCCAATCGAGAGCAAACGAGTCGACAGACCTTCTTGGTAACCTTGTCCACCTCTTCAAACTTGAACTGGTAATCAGCTGTGAAATGCTCGTCTTTGAAAGCGCCCTTGCCAATCCACTTGTGGGAGGGCTTGCCCTTGAGCTCAAAGATGAGTTTGAGCATCTCGTTGTTCGTCGAGCCCTGGAAGAGAATGCGTCCAGAGTATGCCTCAAACAACGTGCATGCTAGCGCCCACATATCGAGGGGGTGCGAGTACTTGTGACCCATCACTAATGAATGCAAAAGCAACAACAAACCAGTGAGTATCAGACGACCGTGGAAAACCGCAGAGTACCAGTCCCACGGGGCAGATGCGTTCTCCGCGAGACCAACACCATATGCCTCGCATATGGCGTGTGACTGGGCAGCCCAACCACCCGAGGCACGACTTACTAATTTCTGGGGCACGGTAGAAGCGACTAACGAGGAAGGGCGTGATTTCCACCTCGTCCGTCAAAAAGGCTGAACCAAAGTCACAAAGCTTGATGACGTTGTACTTGTCATTGACGAGCATGTTGTCCGGCTTGATGTCGGCGTGGATGATGAGACCCTTCTTCATGAGACGCAAAGAGCGGAGCAGCTGCTGCGCGTAGCTCTTGACGGCACGCAGACTCAAGCCGCGGTTACGACCAAACTTCTTCTGCACCTCGCGAAGGTTCATGCTAAGATTCTCAAACACAAGGCAAAGATGGTTGCGGTGCTTGAAATCACAGAGCAGGCGCACGCAGTGGTGGGTGCGCTTGGGGTCCAGGCTGTTGAGCTTCTGCAGCACCTCGAGTTCCTTGAGGCCGGCTTTGTACATCATCTCATTGTTGCGCAAAATCTTGATGGCCACCTGATGTCCAGGCCGCTGCTCGTCCGTTGCGCGCACAACGTTGGAGAAGACACCCTGACCTGTGAAACCGAACACACGATAACGATCGTTGAGCAGCTCACTCATCTGCACGCGGTAGTATCCCTCATGGTCATCCCAGTTGTCGGCCAGGGCCGCCGTCGTGCCCACCGTGCTCACGGCACGGGTGGTCTGTGTTTCCACCTTAAAGTCCTCGCTAAACATGTCAGGCTCCTCGTCCTCCTCATCCTCTGGTTTGGTCTCCGGTACGGTTGGTTGGCCGTTGCTTGCTCCAGGCGCACTGTGACCGTTGCCTTGTTGTTGTTGTTGTTGTTGTTGTTGTTGTTGTTGTTGTTGTTGTTGTTGTTGGCGCTGGAGGATACGCTGCTTCATTTCATTTTCTGCCTCGCGGAGGGCTTCTTCAATGGCCTCGTCTCCTTCTTGCTCGATGGATTGCTGAGCATCATCAAAGCCAAGGTTGTACTGCTCAAAATCGTCGTCATCGTCGTTGGGTGGTGATTGCGGGCGGTGATTGGGCGTGTTTTGCCCACGCGAATAAGAGGTGGACTGTCCACCAGATGCTGGAATGTGGTGGCTGCTTTGCCCATCGTCCACAACTTGGCCCAAGCGTTCTTGAGACCGCTGTGAGGCATTGCCGTCGCGCGGCGTGTTGTTTCCACTGGGTGCATTGGCATTCAGCTGCTTCAGCATGGCTTGGCGCTTGCGACGCATGGCCTCAATCTCGGCCTCTTCGTCGCGCTCCTCTTCCTCGATTTCGAGCGGCTCCACCGGTCTATTGAGGCATGAAGACGCGCAGTCAGCCCAAAGCGTGGTACAGCAAGCTAGAAAAGAGTTTTCACGTTGCTTATGCACATGTGGTTAAAAAGATGAAGCAAGACCCCTGGCTGAAGCAACTTGATGAAGCCAATAAATGGGCACGCAAGTGCGAGCGTTGACCAACTCACTCGGGTTGAGGTTCAGGTTTGGGTGCCGGGGCTGGTGAACGGGCGCGACTCTGTTGGGATGGTGCGGCTTTGCTGCGATCACTTTCGTCATCACTGTGAACAATGCCACGTGCCATTTCGGCACGAGCAGGTGAAGACGGAGTCTCGTGTACGCGACGGTCCGCCTTGCTGTTTCCGTCGTCGGGCGCTCCGCTGCGCGAGCGTGACTCGTGCGAAGGGCGTTCCGAGGCACGGCGCGACATGGGCGAGCGCGAGCGGGATCGTCGGCGGTCGTCATTTCGTCCTTCGCGGCGAGCAGGGGAGCGCGAGCGTCGGCGGTGGCGGTCAGGTGAGCGGGAGTGACGACGGCGACGACGCTCGGGGGAACGTGAGCCACGGCGGTAAGCACTGCGCGAGCGAGCATAAGCTTCGTAGCGTTCGTCCTCACGCCGACGATGCTCGCGTACATCAATGTCTCGGCGTCGGTATTCTTCATCCTCGTAGCGAGAGCGGTGATGTCGCGAAGATGCGCGCTGTGGGGAACGAGAGTGGGAGCGGTGGTGGCTGCGGCGATGATGGTGGTGGTCATCTGCACGTGATCGCGAGCCGTCGCGATGGCGAGAGTATTCACGGTCCCTGCTTCGATCCCTGCTACGGTCGCGGCTGCGACGGCGAGGGGGGGAACGGGAGCGGGAGCGAGAACGGCGAGGGGGAGAGCGAGAGCGGGAGCGAGAGCGACGAGAGCCTGTCTCTTCCAAAGTAGCCAGTTGGGCTTGAAGCAGTTCACGTTGGCGCTGAAGCTCGTCGATGTCTGCCGCGGCGAGCTGCTCAACGTCGTCGACCTTGGCACGCTTCGATTCCATCGTACCTGGTATTGTCAAACACAAGCGAAATCCTATACGCCGCCTTATCTGGGGGCTTGCTGGGCAGGTGGTCGAAGCAACTCTGCGACGCCAAGGTTTACGTGCGGAGCAGGGCCACCACCTGCACGCAGCAAAAGAAGGAGAGAAGCAGGGAGAGAGATAGAGGGATAGAACACAGCCCCACGCGACACCGCGGTGCAAAAGGTATCAGCTTGGAATGTCGCGCAACTCAAATTGCCACTGGCACAAGGGCGACAGGGGGGTCGTTTGCCGGGCCGGGCGCGGCGGGTGATTTCCAAGGACCGATTCAGCCCTCACGCCCCACAATTCCCATTGAGTAGGAAAACCCGGCCGCCTGCTTCTCCACGCCCAACAAGGGCCAGGCCCGTCCCAGAAGATCTTCAAGCATCGAGCTCACACAACGCACGTACCTTCTGGGGAACCCGAGAGATGGTTATCCAAGTGCACATCCACTAGCTCTGCTGCCCTTTTGCCGCTCTGAGTGTTTTTTTGAAAAAAAAGACGGAAAAAAAAGTTGAAAACCTGGAACAAAAGAAGAAGAAGAAGAAGAAGAACGACGAACGACGAACGACGATTTCCTTTGTTCTCGCTTGTGTTCTTCTTCACATGACTTGATGTCTCGAAGCTCAAAAGACGGGGTTGGGGGTGGGGGTCATTCCATTTCAAACTGGCGGGTCAATTACGGTTTGCCGAGGGCAGTGCGAGAAGGCCACACACGGCCAAGGGGCAAAGACAACCTAGCACCCGGATCGAACAAGGGATTCAAAGA